CACGTTACAAAGCAAGACTATGTGCCAAAGGATATGCACAAACTGCAGGTATCGATTATCAAGAAACCTTTTCACCAACTGTGAGGTATGATTCGATTCGATTATTGTTATCCACAGCCATTCAAAACAATCTCAAAATTATGCAAATTGATGTTAAGACGGCTTTCTTGTATGGTGAACTTGAAGAAACTATATTGATGTGTCCGCCAGAAGGCCTGCCCTGTGGAGAAAATATGGTATGTAAACTTAACAAATCTTTATATGGGCTAAAACAAGCTCCACGTTGTTGGAATAATAAATTTAATTCAGTATTAAAAAAATTTGGCTTTGTTAATAGTAAAGCTGATCAATGTGTTTATGTTGGTCAAGTTAATAATAAGAAATGCTACTTTTGTCTGTATGTGGATGATGGATTATTATTTTCAGTAGATGAATTAGCATTAAAAGAAATAACCAAAGAATTAAATACCATCTTTGAAATTAAAGTGTATGGCACTCCAAGCAACTTTGTGGGAATGCAAATAGAAAGATTTAATGATTATATATTTATACATCAGACTAAATATATCGAACAAATGTTAAATAAATTCAACATGATTGATGCCAATACCAACAGTATTCCAGTTGATCCTCACATGAAGCTTCAAAAAGGAGAAGGAGAACTCGAGAAAGATATTCCATACAGAGAGGCTGTTGGCTCCCTTATGCACCTAGCTACTGTGAGTCGACCAGATATCATGTTTGCTGTCAGTTTGGTGAGTCGTTTTCTTAACTGTTACACTCAAATGCACTGGAATGCCATCAAAAAGATTTTCAAGTATTTGAAAGCTTCCCAAAACTATGGACTATGCTATAAAAAGACTACACAAACAGAAATCAATGGCTACAGCGATGCTGATTTTGCAAATGATTTAAACACACGCCGCTCGGTTACTGGGTATGTTTTTATAAGAAGCGGAGCTGCAGTAACATGGGCAAGTCAAAAACAACAAACAGTGGCATTGTCCACTACAGAGGCCGAGTTCATGGCAGCCTGTGCCGCCACCAAAGAGGCCATGTGGGTCAAGCAACTATTGAGTGATATTGGTGACTACAAACAAAACACATTATGCCTTCATCTAGACAATCAAAGTGCTATCAGTGTTATTAAAAATGTAAACTTTCATAAACGGTGTAAACACATTGAAATTAAATATCACTTCATTAAGGAGAAATATCATCAAAAAATTATTTCATTAAAGTTTGTCAGTAGTAATAATCAATATGCAGATATACTTACAAAGGCCTTAGCCAAAGATAAATTTCTGTTTCTTAGATCTAAACTTGGAATGTATTCATATAGTTCTCTTCTATAAATTTTATATTATTGTGTTAAGATAACTTACCTATTGTAAAAGATTTCTTTTGCTTTTGTAACAATTTAATAAATTACTTTTGTTTTTTAAACCAGGCTTGAATTCAAGGGGCGTGTTAAATATAATTTGAATTTCGCGCCTTTTTAAGCCAACTCACGCTTGGCCATATACTTATTCTCTCTCTATGATCTGCTCTGTGACACCATTTTTCATACGTGTGTAATTTTTATTAAATAAAATAATCCAGTGATTAAACAACAGTTTAGTTTGATTAATTATATCAATATTATTATTTATCGATATGCGTTTTTGTGATTCGCGATTGTGAACTTCGAGTCAAGATTTTTTTTCGAGAATGGTTAAAAAGTTATTGTATCAGGAGTAAGTAATCGTATGTCAATAATTTTTTTGTACTGGTCCATACAAAAGTTCAATTTTATTTGATTGTAGTCCGTCAAACCGTCAAATGTAGTAACACTGACGGCGATAAAGCGTTTGCCGGGGATTCCCCAACGACGCCTTGTATCGTATCATTTTCATTCATTCACGTTTCGCTTTCCTTTTACTTGTAACGTTGTCATTGAACAGTGAGTACCTACTTGAGTACAATCTTACATAAATATTGCATAAATAAATTCGAAAACTAATATTATGGACAAAAGAAAAAGAAACCCGGTGGTGCATTTAAACGCAAACAACGCTAAGAAAGAGGAGAAAGTAAACAAAAATTGCCCAAAATTGACAAGTTTTTTAGTCAGCCTTCAGCAAGTACTTCTGGATCAAATATTTCTATTGATAATTTTTGTAAATAGCTTGCATGGCGATAGGTTAAATAACAGTAAACTGGTGCAACGTTTCTATGATTAAATAAATATATAATAAACCCTTGAATCTTTTCTATTTCGGTTTATTGCCCAATACCTACACCAAGTATAAAAATAATTGTAATTTATGTTGTTAGTGTTTAATAGTTTTATTACCTGCCTATGCACGAAAAAGAGCTGATGATAAGCTTAAATTTGGTAGCAGTGGGCCCCATTTTTTTATTTGCCCCAGGGCCCTAGATTACCTAGCTAGGCCACTGATCATGTAGCTCTGTTTCTCTAGTGATGAAATGTTTTATTGTAAAACTGTATATGTAATTTCAATTGGCTAATGTGTTTTTTCATAAATCTTTGTTAATTCAGAGCTAACTTGTAAAACGATCATTCGATTCAAACGATGCCACGTTGGTCGGACCACGGTTATTGTCGTTGTTCCCTGTGGTACCTCCTACAGCTATATAAGCTACTAGTACCTAATAAAAATACAAAGGGAAATATGTCGACTTACTTGTCATTTGCCAGCTCATTGTATATCTTTATGCCTTGGCAATCTTTTTGAGTTTTTTGTAAGTTGTTCACTTCAAAATTATAAAACATTTTTATCCCTTGAGACTAAAATGGGTCATAAAAGATCCTAATCCTTACTTCTCTTAGAGACAATAAATTAAACAATTTCGATAATATCCTAACTGATATACTTTATTCAAAAACCAATTTTTAATTTAACGATTTATGTTAGTTCAAACATAACTTTCAGTTTCTCCGTATTTTCTTTTATTACTTCAGATGATTCTATTGAGAAAAATAAACTTTTCTCTTATGACAGCCAGATGACTTCTTTAAATGTTCACGTTATATTAAGTAAATACCACTGAACCGTTATTTGGGTTTCAAGTGCAATAGCAAAATGTTAAGGCACTTTGAAATTTGTTTTGACAAACCAGCGATTACAGCACGGCCATGTCCATATTATGATAACACGACCTCAAATATAGACTATATAGTAGAAGATCCGAACCTAAATCGACCTTCACCGGGTTGATAATAGAATAAAACTTATTGTATAATTAATTTAGTATATTAGAAAATATATTAAAAATGGGTTCGCTAAAAAAAACCTGGTCAGAATATTTTTAATTATTTTTTAAAAAATATTTTTTTAGTAAATGTTGCAACATCAAGATAATAAGAAAAATTTAATTCTGATTTAAAGTATAAAACATATAGAATGTGCAGGCGTTGGGTTGTCTATTATTTACCTGGACGAACTACTGGGTTGTCAGGTATAAACAGGTATATCGATGCCAGTTAATTTCACTTGATTTGATAATAAAAAAAAAATTATATCCCACGCGTTAAAATTTTAATTTTTAAAATTCGCAAACCCGTATTATGACCGATTTTTTTGCAGACAACCCTATATCAATGTGTTCGTAATGAAACAGCGCTTATGTTGATATAATTTTTTTTTTATTATCAAATCAAGTGAAATTAACTGGCATCGATATACCTGTTTATACCTGACAACCCAGTAGTTCGTCCAGGTAAATAATAGACAACCCAACGTCTGCACATTCTATATGTTTTATACTTTAAGTCAAAATTAAATTTTTCTTATTATCTTGATGTTGCAACATTTAATAAAAAAATATTTTTTTTAAAATAATTAAAAATATTCTGTCCAGGATTTTTTTAGCGAACCCATTTTTAATATATTTTCTAATATACTAAATTAATTATATAATAAGTTTTATTCCATTATCAACCCGGTGAAGGTCGATTTAGGTTCGGATCTTAGACTAATAGGGAAACGAAATATCCGCAGTCCAACTCTTTATATCAAAAGGATCACATAGCACAAGTACTTGTAAAATGCGCTCATGCTCTCTACACATAGGATAGCTCATCTTAGCTGTTGTAACGATATTAAGTTTCATTTTACTTCTTTGACATATACTTTAATAACGCATAAAATAAAGAATGATTATAATGAATTTGACAGCAGTATTAATAACTTAGCCGTTTCTCCACCAAAAGACATGTCAAAGTCGTAAAATGACACGAAATATAGCTAAAACGTTGTTAAGATTTATACTATGACTAGAGTTAAGCGTTCGCACCCCATGTTGGCGGAACTGCATGAGCGTAGGAAGAGTGGGGGAGCCCACCTCAGAATTTTTATTTCGAAAAAATACTATTGTTATGTCCGTGTATCAAGCGGCGAAAATAGCTTTAGATAAGCCTATGCCAGATTGTATACAGGTCCCGATCTAACTATAGATATGTGGCTCAAATAATATTGTTTCCCTTTAAACTACCACGCTATCAAATATTAACCTACTAGATCTTCGTCTTTAGAATAAATATACAGAAAAAAATAGTGTCCTTGCACAACAAAAAAGCAAACTAAATTCGCAATTCTTCCTGTATATAACACACTAGTGGACGCCCGCGACTTCGTCCGCGTGGAAGTCGGTATCCCGTGGGAGTGAGAAGTTTTCCCAGTAAAAAGTACCCTATGTGTTATTCTGATGTATAACCTATATTGCTGTAAAGTTTTATCCAAATCCGTCCAGTAGTTTTTTCGTGAAAGAGTAACAAACATCCATACATCCATACTTACAAACTTTCGCCTTTATAATATTAATAGGATTATTCCGGCATGTTTTTCATATATTTTACGCTTAAAGATCGAAATTGGTCATTGAGTGAACAAATAGTTCACAACGCACATTAAAATGTCCACATAGCGAAATTCGTCTTATGGCTCTTATGGAAACGCTTACAACGCGTTGTGGCTTTTACAGAATGACCACATAGCGAAATCCGCACGTGATACATAATTTGTTTATATTAAATTGCTGCACACAAGAGAAAAAAAACTACTGCGACATTGGTGCCAATTCTGTTGCTAAACTTATAGCTCGTACGAATTACCAGGACATCCCAAGGCCTGTTTGTCCTCGAAAGAAAATTCGGATAATTTCGAATCGTCCAGTGTCAGGTCCTACCTCCGTTGCATCATAAATTATCAAAAAAGTCGTTTCCTAAAAAACGTGTTAGCACTTCAAAAATAAACGAAAGGTTCGTTTTCGTTTAAATAGAATAGATCTTCAGGTGTCATGTTAATTCGTACCAGTATTAAGAACATATAATTTTAATTTGGGTTTATTTTCACGTCATTTCGCTGTCACATATTTTCGATGCAATATAATTAACCTTCTTTATACTATAATTTATTTGCAATTGCAATGCAGTAAAGGGCGGACTTAATGCCGTACGGCATTCTCTGCTAGTCGATCAGTAATAAAAAGTTTACTTCCTAGTTATTTACAAAATTGGACACGTGATTAAGACAGTATTAAACTTAATTCAGTCTAGTTTGTGCGAAAGAATTGCCACCAATGTATGTCGCCGTGACGGTACCTATTATTATTGCATTACTATTTTAATACTTTGTTTTTGAGATTTGGCCATGTCCAAATAATTAGTATCTACACACTAGCTTCGTTAATTTATTAATCATATAAATTAAGCAATCATGCGATTTTCTATTAATAAAAAAAGAAATATACAAACATAAAATAGTGTCACTTTTCTCAATTAACTAATACACTTATACTAAAATAACTTTAACTATTTATTAAGGAAAATTAGTTCGGGTATGGTGTTTGCTTTCACGTTAATGTTTTGAGTCTTCGGTTTGCTCCTAAATAAATTATAAAAACTGTATCTAGCTAAATGAACACTTGTTCCGCCGCTAAAGCATCCGCAAATGGTTTGACGACACAACGCGTCGCAAAATAAAATATCAAACCGAATGTTATTGAAATAGGCAACGCCGGTAATGCTTTCTTGAGTATCGCCAGCAACAGGAGCGTCAGACAAAGACCCTGCGAAATTAATACATCTATTAAAAAAAAAAACAACTATAAAATAAGATCAGAGGTAGGTATTATAATAAAATCTACTTCAAAATTTTATTTCATTAAAGCTCTATGACGTCATAGCTCTGGGCTTGACGAGTTCAAGGCTGTTTTATAACAGTATAGAATAGCGGATAGGTGAAATTTTATATGTATAAATCTAAAACAGTAAAAAAACTATGATAGAGAACTCCATATACACCAATACAAGTTTGTGTTAAGATATAGTTTTTACTACATGAAAATGTTTCTATTAATAGTAGGTAATATACTCACGATAAGTATAGCCACAAAACAAGCGAGTGTTGTGTTCCAGTCACCGTAGGAGCTCGCTTTGCCCACTAGTACACTATAAAATATGAAATCGCCGAGACCAAGTTTAACGCCCTCTGAAAAAATAATAAAAGAGGTTAATTTAATTATTATAAAAGAAAACGCGAATTTTTTGTCAGGTGGGAGTCGACGAACTGTGATATTAGAACAATATTTAGTAGAATATGTATAGACAAACAGGTGACAGAAGGGGGGGGGGGGAGAAGGAAAGTCATGAATTTTGTGTGACGTAATTTATGGACGGCCCCTAAACAAATTTGTCGTTCACGCTATTATGGCGAATAAAAATTTGTTTTTTAATACGCATTAAAAAACAAATTTTTATTAGATCATTTAAACAGTCAAACAATTTTTTGTAACGATGGTTTCTTATCATTAACAAACGTCACCGTGACGGACGGACTATAACCTAAAGTCCAAGATCCCAGAGCGATCTGACATAACTTATTTTTAAAAGCATAGAACTTTCAATTCTAAGTATTCTAAGTAGTAGCATGCATAGTGCTCTCGCGCTTATACTAATGATTGCATAATTTTATCGTTTAGGGGATGTTTGGTCATTACAATTTGTCTGGCTGATTAAATATAGCTTTGTAATAGTTATCTTAATAACATATTTAAAAATCAGACATTTAAAAATAAGTAAAGTCAATTTATTTTTTACGGAGCTATAAGCGTCTGACAATAGTTCTGGCCCATGGAAAGCGTCTGACACTTTTAATTTTACTTCAGAATAACATTCTACATAATAAATTTAAAAATCAGACATTTAAATATAAGTAAGTAACGCTGATTTTTAGTTACCTTTCTCACCTGGTATCTATCCAGGTGTCACCGAGCGAATTCTACAAGTAAGCAGGTAATAAAAGTACATTTCGAGACTACTTAGAATTGAAAGTTCTATGCTTTTAAAAATAAGTTATGTCAGATCGCTCTGGGATCTTACTCTACTATAAGTGTCTGCGGTGTAGACATGGGTTGGTAATGCGTGTGATAGTACAAAAGTAATATCACTTTGTTACGTAATGCAACATCACGCATTACGCGTCAGTTACAAACAAACAACATCACTGTATCACTCATCACTTCGGCAACGTTCGGTCAGCGTCGTCTTAGGGGCCATCCATAAATTACGTCACACAAAAACAACCCCCCCCTCCTTTCACATGTTTGTCTATACAAATTCTACTAATTATTGTTCTAATGTCACAGTTCCTCGACCCCCCCCCCCCCCCCTCCTAAAGTGTGACGTAATTTATGGATGGCCCCTTAGTTCGTAATGGTTATGTTGTAAATAGTTGATTTTTAAATACGTTCTTTTACATCTAAACAAAGATTGCCAGTCCTAAGCCTAGAGGGCCCCTTTTTTATTTTGTTTTATGTTTGCTTACGTTCTTTGCGTGATAAGTATTGCTTTTATTATTGCTATTTTTCAATATCATATAGGATTAAAATATCTAAGACACGTATAATCAATCAATTTTGTTTTGAATTTTTATACAAAAAATATAATCAATATGATTTCTAGACTAAATGAAATTCGGACACAGTGAATTCGAATGAGGAAGTATGAAAAAAAGCATTAGCTCCCAAAATCAAACTAGATGTCGCTACAGTACGTTCTGATTTCTCCATGACAACCTTTCCGGTTTTGTTTCAAGCTTAAAAGCAAAAGTAGTTTTCAAAACTCAATAAACAACTCGCATTCTATTTATACTTTTTCGTATTTGTATTGATATCTAAAACTCAATAAACAACTCATATTCTATTTATATTCTATTCTATATCTAAGTTTCGAACGTTTCAAATTTCAGTTTTTTAATATGTTAGGTAAAAGGAACGGAAATGACTGTCTTTGGTCCATTTCTTTCCTGCAAACATCAATTTGCTAGAATCGCCGTCTAGTGGAGGTGCTTTTAAATACTTCCTCATTCGGGTCCGAATCGCGGGGCTGTTTTGCGCACGCCTATCTGCACTCACTCTCCTCGTCGGCGTCGGGCGGCGGGTGCGCGGGGTGCGCGGGGTGTGCGGGGTGTGCGGGGGTCGATGCGCGTGGTGTAGTGCGCGGGCGCGGTGCCGTCCACGCGCAGGCGGCGCTGCGCGCGCGGCTCGCCGGCCGTATCGTGCGCGCGCGCCCGCCACGACGCGTCGAAACCACCGTCGCCGCCGCCGCCGCCGCCGTCTGACTCGCGTACATTCGCCGTTTCATTATTTCGTGTGCCTAATACGTAACAAAATACATACCCATTAGAAGAAGGGACATTCTTTCAACATAATAATTACAAACGTGTCAAGTACAGAAGACACCAGAGAAACGATGACACTGCGTGGCCTCGATAGCAATATATGCAAGTAGCGGAAACTTAAGGTGTCACGAAGCGCCGACTCAGCTCCATGCGGGAACGTCGCAACGTGACTAGTAGGTACACATACATCGGACTTCGGCATCGTTCACTTTTGTTTCGCCAACATCGCGCAATAGTCCATTCATTTAATTATAAGAATTAATTGTAAAATTACTTTTCCTTAATAAATAAGTTTATAAAATTTTGGTTTTTTTTTAAGTCCTCGGCTGTAGCCTGTCGTAATTAACGAATCTTCAGAGCTAACAGATGTTTCCGTACAAAACGCTTACAATATAAGATCGTGAGAACAAAAAATATTAAATTTAAATAAGGAGAATAACAGAATTATTACATATTTATAGAATGTCATAAAATATAGGTCAAATCAAAAATAAAAACTACAAATTAATAATTGGATTTCTACAAGTACATTATATAATCGTCGTGCATAACATACATCAAAATGAAAAGTAAGAAAAATAATTCCACCAAAGGAAAAAGCTATGATGAATAACAATTAGATGCATAACAACTCATTTCTGAGCAATTGATCCGTTAAGACATAAGGATTGGGTGATTAGTTCAATTTGATTTGGTGATTATTTTTTCTCACGTCACTTCACTGCTCCACCCTCGTTAAAGTTAAAGTGACCGAATAATGCAATAAATAATGAAAATATTTAAATTACAATGCCATTCTATCAGATAAACTACCCTTATAAATTTATTTTGTATTTTGTAATATATGTTATATCACCTATGTCACATCAATTCATCTATATTTTCTAGCAATTAATGTCTGTTGGTCTTGAAATGAATTCCTAACTCATCAAGTCTCTAATAAAAGGATTGACTAACTTAATATTAAATTAAATCAGAATATGTTAGATATATTAGTAGAATTCATATTTATATTTTGTTTATACATTGTACTAGACATTTATTTGCGTATTTAAAAGTGCTTGCCGCGACGCCAATTTTATACAATGGCATTTCCATGAAAGCGGCGCAGATCAGAGAGAACAGACCGTTAGGGTTGAGGGGTCGTAGTTCGCGCGGGCACTGCTCACCTTCGCCCGCTGTGCCAGTAGTAGTAGCCGCCGCTAAGCAGTACATCACTGTAGCTGTAAATATAAATTAAACAAACATAAGTAAATATGTGGCAACCGAGTGGTATAATCAGCCGACCTCAGGCGACTGATTAATTGAATGGCGCCTTTCAATACGGGCGTAGATGATTTTTTAATGTTTTTATTTTATAGATATACTTGATATATATTTTAATGTTGGAAATTTCCCGCTAAAACGCTAACCGCTGTCATGGCGTCGACGTGACGTCACAAACAAACATAGAACAACTTGATAGAACAACTCAGTTTAGTTTAGCATTTCCTCGCAACTGGTGTCTATTTAAAGTTATTAAGCGGTTTAAAATATATTTAAGAGTAAAAATAAAAAATATTGTAATATAATAAAATAATAATACTTAGTGACGAATGAAAATAATAACCAAAATTCATTCTGCGACAATAACTTGTTACAACAATATTTCATTATTATAGCTTTCAATGTTCGATCATTTGTCACTAATGTTTCTCTCGGCTCCGCCGGCGAGTAGTGGCGCGCACAAAGCGACCTCCCTCCCTCATTTGCCTTATGCCTCGCTGCATACTCAATCTTTGCGTTAATTTCATTCTCTTTACCTCACCTCAAATGATGAGTACTTCGCGAGTACAATTTTAAAAAGTGGAGCCAGATAAGTGTATCAGTAGTTACGACGTAGCTGAAGAACTGGGTATTGATCACATAACAGTTTTTTTTGCATTTGAAAAACGTTGGTTATTTGGATGCCTCACGATCTCACTGAAAGAAACCTAATAAATTGCTGAACTTGTGATTCATTATTACGGTGTAATGTAACCGAACCATTTTTGAAGAAACTGATAACTGATGATGAAAAGCGGATTACGGACGACATGTACCTACATGCGAAAAAGGTCGTGGTCTAAGGTCGATCAGGCTTTACAGATTGTGCCGAAACCGGGGTTAACACGCGACAAGGTAATGCTGTGTGTATGGTGGGATTGGAAGAGCATTGTTTATTATGAGATATTACCGCCAGGCAGGACCATCGATTCTGAACACTACTACGAATACCTGATGGGATTAAAGCAAGAAACAGAGAGAAAGCGGCCAGAGTTAATCAATAGAAGGGGTGTGGTTTTTATCATGATAATGCTAGACTTCACTCATCTTTTGCCACTCAGCAAAAATGAAGTTTGGCGGAAGATGTTAATGCATCCGCCATATAGTCCTGACCATGCAGCTTCAAGTTTCTACCTGTTTCGGTCAGTTCAGTATTTAACATCACGTGAGGGCTGCCAAAACACTTGTCGTGATTTTTTGATCAGAAGCCCCAAAATTTCTATAGCAATGGGATCATGTCCAGAAGAAGACCTACAAGATGGCAAAAAGTTATCGAACAAAATGGTACCTACATACTTCAGTTAAATGTAAATAAACTTCATAAGGCCGCCGATTTTACTGATTGTTAGATTATAACTGTAAATAATGAGACTGTATGGTGTATGTACAATAAAGAATATTTCATTCATTCGTTAAAATTCATTCATTCATTCAACATATTATCTAAGTCATGTTTGACTTACATGAATATATAAGTGCTGGAAATATAGGCTCATTTCGTTCTTGCGCTGTCTCTACTAAAATTCTCAATGGCCCTTTTGGTGTCAAAACAGCTACTAGATCTGAAAATAATAATTTATAATACTATTTCTTTTATTTATGTATACTTATATATTTGAAAAACAGAAAAATATATCCTTTATGTAAGGTTTACATTGGTTGCTTTCCATTTCATAGAAAATTTCACTGGATTTCAATGTTTTGAATATATTACAAATATAATGTTTGCGATTCACTAAACATTATTTATTACACCTATATTAAGTTACTATTGCGTATGGAATATCTACCCCATATTGAGATCACAGCAAGCACAGCCCATGTGGTCCACTCTGGCAGATATTTAATGAACACAAGGGCCATCAAAGCAGCAATAAATATAAGATATGCTTGTTGCAGCCGCAATGGACCTTTCCAATGAATCACAATCATGCCCATTACTCCAAAGTTCCACATTACAAACACTAATGTTATGTAATCCATGGGTATATTGTATGCTCTTAGTGCTTCTCTGAAATAAAAAAATATATTGACCACAGTTGCAATTATTAAACTGGGAATAGAATGTAAACATCTTTTTTATTTCGAGTGTTAAATCCTAATATTAAGATACCAAATCATAACAGTGGCAATTCTGTTAGCACAAACTAATCCGATCACTCACTTGCAAAAATGATTTTTACAGTTCGTAGATGACTTTGAAACTGTAATGAATGTTCTACATTTTCTAATCTTAATAGACAAACCATTGCAACTGGGTGTAAAAGTTTCAATACTGTCACACTGTATATCCAAATCTTAAACTATCTAAACAGTTAAAATAGTTACATTTTCTTTATTAGATATGACAACTGTAGAACTAAGTTTAAAAGTCATTTTCACTTAACATGGATACTGTGACATTTGATATTTTAAGTTTTCAGTGATGTGGTAATTAAAAAATATATATACAAAACTTGATATTATTGAGTTGATTTCTAATAAAGACAATCGATTTTGAGTTCAATGTATAAAACAGGATTTAAAAAAAATATTTATTCATCAATAAGATGAACATGACAATTAAATTGGACGATTCAAAAGTGCTTGTAAAAAGCTTACTTGAATAAAGATATTTTCATTTCATTTCATTTCAACATGAGTCAGAAAAACACATGTTTTTTTTACAGTTAATAATCACATCAACAAAAAAAATGTGAAATGAATGTTCTTAATGTAAAATACTTAAAAAATCCACTTTGTTCCTGGCACTCTGAGATGGTACTTAAACCCTCACAATCCGGGCGAATGCTCTAACCATTGAGTTACCCAGGACCTAACAGGACTGGCGAATTTTTCAAGCACTTGTTACTTTTTCGCTACTACTACATTGATGAAAATACACTCAAAGTTCAAGGGTTCGAGTCCCATCTCAGAGTGCCAGGGACAAAGAGGATTTTTTAAGTAGTTTTCATTATGAATATATTTCATGATTGCATTTTGAATGCAAAAAATCTAATATAATAATGTCAAATGATTAAGGAATGCACATTTTGATTAAAATGATTTTATTGATGCAACCACTATCAAAAAATTGTTTCAATTTTCATAACAAGTATTGATGTTTTAAAATGTAGAAGGTAACATTTCAGTAATTATGGCTATTAAAAAATTAATTTGTATTTTATTTTGCAAATTTAAAAAATGAAAAATGTTTCAATTTTCATAAATAGGGATGATGACTAATTTTTGTTTATTTGTCCGTCAGGTAGAGTGTTAAAAGATATTAAACACGTATTTTTTTTTTTTTTTATCGTAATCATAAAATTACGGCGTTACATTGAGTTGAAATTTTGCATGACGTCACATTAGAGTACGTTTTCTACTCAACTGTGACGTAGCGAGCCCCCACTCCTCAACTTTAATGCCTGTTATCTAAGCTATTTCTTGTTAAATTGAAGTAAAAAAAAAAATATGTATCTAATATTTTTCTATTATCTGACTGACGGACTAAATAGAATTGCATTTTTTTACCCAGTCATCATCCCTATTGTATTGATGTTTTAAAATGTTGAAGGTAACATTTCAGTAATTATGGCTATTAAAAAATTAATTTGTATTTTATTTTGCAAATTTAAATAAATTTCTAGCAACTCTACACTCAGTATCATACTATTTTTGTTTTCAAAGTAATAAAACATACTCACTCTATATACAAATATGAAAATAAGAATAGCAGCATCAGTGATGACAATATGAGCCATCCATGAATGATTTTATAACATCTCTTCTTATATAAAACTATTAACAGAACAGTCATAAGGGCAATTACGCTCAGTAGGATCAATGAGTTAGCCAAAGCATTCCATACTTTTGTTACAGCATAGGGACTCTCTTCATGGAATGGAGTATATGCTCTGAAACAAAAAGTCAATAAAATATTAATAATAAAATTATGTAAATACATTCCTATTATGTAAATACATTCACAATACTCATATTTTACAAAATAATTATTTAATACTTACAAATATACATCTTTGACTGAGTAGAAGTTAATTGATGATATTGTAGCAACAACAACAAGCATACACAATGTAACAGGAACAAATAGTTTGATGACATGTCTTGCTCCATATTTAAGTTCCAACTCTTCTGCCTCAGGATTGTTATGAACTGGTACTGAACTCGGACCAGGGTCACTAGATATACCCTGTGAACTTCTTTCAGTAGGCTCCACACTCTACACATAATTTTAAAAAGAATTTGAAGAACCACTTTTTAGAATATACATAATAATAAATATATATGCTTTACCCATCAAATAATTTACCATTTCATATGAAACAGATAGAGACAAGGTATGCTCACTAAAAAACATACACTAAGATTTGCAAAAATTTATTTATTTACTTCAAATCAAAAGCCACATGTAAACATTCATTTCTAGGTAATAGCAATTATTACTAAAATTATTAAGTATATGAATAGATAACTTTATCATAGACGTAAACATTACTTTATAGATTAGATAGTGCATGGCAGTGAGTAACACGTCCTGTTAAATATTGTTTATTTAATAAACCCTTTTGGATTTTACCCCATATGTGCGCTGATTTTCGGTTTTGGATTTTCTCTTTCTGGCAATTCTGTCAGCGATTTCCCTGTCCGGGCGTGCTTCTGCGATGTGTCCATCCATTATTAGTGCAGTATGCTCAGTCACTTCCTCAGTATCGGAATTAGAGTTACTCATTCATAAAACGCTTGAATTATAACCAACATTTTATTGTACCACGCAGTTATCAATATGAGCTAGGATTATTATATAGTATTAATAATTTTCTTTGTCAACACCAATCAAAATAAAAGCAAGACATATCGAGCCCGTTGAATGACACACAAAAAGACATAAATGACAAACCGAACGGCAGATGAGGATGACAGATGGTATTTAGGGATGCCTGATCCGAAAAGGACGTAGAAATCGATTCAAGAAGATGAATTTACATAGAATCAGGAAGTATTGAAAAAAACCCACTCCACTCCACAGATTTTTGCAGGAAACGAATGGACCAAAGATAGTCATTCCCATTCCCTTTAACTACTTATTAAAAACTGAATTTTGCAATTATTTTCTCGTATACATGAAGTTTATTGTGGACTGAAAACCAGTGATGTGATGCATCATATTTATGTCGACACATTTTAACACAGTTTTTAAAATATTTTATTTGGAAAGCATTAAAAGAAAAGCGATTAATTCTAGCCACAAACAAAACTAAGGATTGTCTAACTAACACTTACTACTTTTCTGTCAATCACTCATTATATAAAGCTATCTAAACATTGAGTGTTTTATTGTTAACAAAATTAACCTATTTTTACCAAAATTGCTCATACAATATTTATTTGTGACACGTATTTATTGTGTATTTAATGCAACAGATTACCTGGAAACAAAGTACGTAAAATAAAAATAAGCTATAAAATATGGCATGTCAGATCAATGCACTTCTCTGACACACCATTTAATAAAACTTTGAATGTTCCAAAGACACAGCATTGCGCAATATCCATATTTAAAAAATGCAGTTGAATATGAAGAATTATATCGATCATACATTAGACGTAAAACAAGTAACTAACAAAATATTGTATAGAAAATATGACCAAATTAGTATGTAATAAGAAATGAATAAATTAATATTTTTTAAACTTGTTTTTCTTACCTAAATACCGTGGTGGTGGGTGTGATAGTACCACGATAGTAGAATTTTCTTTGGAATACCACACTGCAATGAGTAAAAATGGGAAAAAAATAATCAATATAATAAATAAATAGATACAGTTCTGTATGTATTTGAAATAATTTGTTGACCTCTTGCTCTTATTCGTTACATTATCGCCGCTGTTAGGCGAAGGCCTCCAAATGACTGCAGCCATCCGCCAAAATCACTTATAATTAAGCCAAAATTATTGAATAGAGTTAAAAATGTAGGATAAATATAACTATAAAGCAATATCAAGTTTCTGCACCGATTGGAAGAAGTTGTTGATGCAGGCCTTTTGCCGCCCCGGGTCTCCGATGAGGTTATCCGTACGAACGGGTTTCATTTGGTTTATGTTACGTACGTAAACAAAGTGAGAAAGAGAGACGTAAATGAAGGTAATCAATTGAGTGCAAACAAAAGATATATTAGATTTTTGCTTGTTACATCACTGTTTGATTGAACGTTTGGGTGAAAAGATTGAGTCCTTTACAGATTATAGGTTATGAGTGATTGATTCCAAATGATTTGATCCATCGCGATCGACACATGTCTAATGTTATATTTGCAGTTTTAATACACACTGTCACATCGTAATATGTCCGAACGTTGGCGCCGTCGTAGACAAACTATATAAATCAAAATAAGTCCGCACCACGTCCGCACCATGAAATGAGGCATTATGTCATCGGCCATCTTTGAGACTTTATTTAATCATAATTATTTAGATAAAATCATTACTTAAATAACGTGTTAAAATCGTTTAACGTGTTGTTTTTTTAAATCCATGTAGAAAGTTTTCAAAATTGTTTGGTTGAATGAATGTATTTAAATCATGTAATGGTCTCCTACGTGAAGTTGGCAGTATTGTGGTGACGCAAAGTGCAATTAGAGCTTAGAAGGATCCATCGCCACCTTTCATCTATTTCATTTTCATTTTACATGTAAAAATTAATTAATTTACTTGACATTGGCAGAATTGTGCGAAATGCGCAGACAAACCATTAATAAGAGAAGAAAGAAAGAAAAGTTTAGAAGAAGAAGAAGAAGACCGGACATTGACAGTGGTGTTGTTGGTCGAAGGCAGCAAAGATAAATTAGAGTTGGTAGAAAGTGACACCTAGAGACAAGAGAATCAACGAGGAAGTATATAAAAAAAAAAACATTAGTTCCCGAAACCAAACTAGATGTCACTACGGTACTTTCATTTCTCCATGACAATACTTCCGGTTTTCGTTCATGTGTAAAAATAAATGAATTTTCAACTCAACAATATATGAGTTATTCTATTTGTATTGATGTCTAAATTTCAAACTTTACAAATTTCCGTTTTTTAATATGTTGGTTAAAAGGAACGGAAATGACTTTCTTTGGTCATCTTGTGTCTAGGTGATCTTGTATCTTGTATATCGCACGCTGAGAACGAAAGTGACCCAATCCAAAATTTTGGGAAATTGAGTTTTATACATAAACAGACCTTAAGAGACATGCTCTACAACCTACAAATTCAAAAACTACCTTATTCCCGCTGCTTAAGCTTCATTTTTTATTTGCGTCTCTTTCATTTCTGCGCCCCGCGCAACCCCTGTCAGTATAAAAGTGACGCAATCAGTGATTCGCCGGGAGTGCTAACGGGTGGACGTGCGTCGTGTTAATATTTTAGTGACCCAATGCGCATTGGGTCACTTTAGGACTCAAACTGAGGTAAGACCTTTATAGTAGCTGTTACTATTAAAGTGACCTTTTTTTGAATTGAGTCGGTTTACGATTAGAATCTTTTTATTTTACGTGTCTTAAAAGCTAATAAGGCAGTCCTTGATTAACCCATAGCTGGAGTTTTTAGTTGAATTATGTGTTAGGCCTGTACTTGATTGATGAATTGTATTTTGTTTTGACGTATTTATGTGTGGGTCTTTTCATTAATAATTTAAGTACACAATTGATTGACCATTTCATTAATAAGTTTTTTCTTACTTTTAGTGACAGAAAAATATTTACAAGTCCAAAATGAAACGAAGAGCGGATCTGATTTTAAAGATGTTAGAGCACAAAAAAGAGGAAGAGGTAACACATTTTGTATGATTCATCTTATACACGGTCAATTTACTACGTAATGGTGTATCTTACGAGCCAACTGTAGTGGCTGCCTAAATTTTGTGCATGTTTTCCATAACTTACCGTATCAAATAGGTATCATTTTATAGTTTTTACTCTGTATAATCCCTACTGTGTATGTAGTCGAAATTCTAATTCATTTCGTGATTTCAGGAAATTATTAGCTATAACAAAGAGAATATTTCTTCTAAGGTGAATGTTGCAGATAATGATGGAAATACAATTGAATCACTAAAACGAAATAGACCTAATAGTGATAAACGAGAGGTAAATGCAAATTTAACTGATTTAAAATCAATTAATGAATCAAGGAATTACACGCTAAGATGAAGATTACAGTTCAATTAACTATAAAAATCTATAAATTTTTATAGGTACTTGAACTTACCTAAATAATAATAAGAAGTGTACAGACAACAGCACGTTGGGTTACTACAAACTGTCAAAATTCCTTAATAGATATTGAGCTTTATGAGATAGACAACAAGGTGAGATCAATCAAAAAAATTCACAGTTTGTGATCACCCAACGTGCTGTTGTCTGTACATAAATAAATTCAATTACATTCCGGTAAATTCTTCATTAACAATCTTGTTTTATTTTCAGCTGACCTGCAATGCTATAGATGTAGAAAAAAATACTGAAAATGATACCTTCGAAGATGAAACACTTGCCAAGAATTTTAGGACCCGGAATTCATCGACGTCTTCAAGCTCTTCCTCTTCAAGCTCTTCCTCTTCAAGCTCTTCGTCTTCAAGCTCGTCACCTTCAACCACAAAGTTAAGTTCATCTAACTCGTCGACTTCTATAGATCGTTCTGATAAGAAGCAACATGCCGCTCCTCCATTAAGTCCAAACCCGAGTACCAGCAAGGAACATGCTCCCCGTTGTTCGTCAAGCCCAAAGCCGAGTACTAGCAAGGAACATGCTCCCCGTTGTTCGTCAAGCCCAAAGCCGAGTAACAGCAAGGAACATGCTCCCCGTTGTTCGTCGAGCCCAAAGCCGAATAACAGCAAGGAACATGCTCCCCGTTGTTCGTCGAGCCCAAAGCCGAGTAACAGCAAGGAACATGCTCCCCGTTGTTCGTCGAGCCCAAAGCCGAGTACCAGCAAGGAACATGCTCCCCGTTGTTCGTCGAGCCCAAAGCCGAGTAACAGCAAGGAACATGCTCCCCGTTGTTCGTCGAGCCCAAAGCCGAGTAACAGCAAGGAACATGCTCCCCGTTGTTCGTCGAGCCCAAAGCCGAGTAACAGCAAGGAACATGCTCCCCGTTGTTCGTCGAGCCCAAAGCCGAGTAACAGCAAGGAACATGCTCCCTGTTATCCGTCGAGCCCAACGCCTTGTACCAGCAAGAAACATGCTTCCCGTTGCTCACCGAGCCTATTAGGGCCGAACTATCAAATATCACCTATTCACACTGATGAAAGTGATGTAGACCTCAGCGACTCTGATCCTACGTTTAGGTTAGATAGCAATAAAGGTGAGGATGCTTCATCATCTGAATCTGTTTCCCATTCTTCTGCCACTGAAAGTAATGGCAAAAAGAAAAAAACTAGAAAACGCTTGAGAAATCCCTCTAAGTGGATACAGAATGAAGTTAAACGATTGAGAAATGCGGGAAAAGCCTATCAATCCCTTTCAAAAACAAAAAAAAAATATTTCGGAGCGTAGTATGAAAGAGGGGTGTAATTGCAAACAGAAATGTAGTGAAAAAATAATGGATAGTGAACGATTGTATTTATTTAATAGTTTTTGGAAACTGAATGATTTGGAATTACAGCGTGCGTATATTCGCACTTGTATGATTCAAATAAACCCTAGATACAAATATACTAACGCAGAAAAGCCAAGGTTGCCTAATAACGCCTTGTACTTTACTTTAGATTCGAAGAAAATACGAGTTTGTAAGAAATTTTTCTTAAATACATTAGATATCAGTGACAGACAATTGAGAACTGTAAAGAGCAAAACAAACAATGAAGGCTTTTTAGAACGAGACCAAAGAGGAAAACATAATAATAGAAAACGTGTAAATCCGACATTACTACAGAACATAAGGGACCACATTAACAACATACCTAAAATAGAATCTCATTACCTAAGAGCTACAACGGATGCTAAAGAATACATTTCAGATAGCAAAACAATACAGGACTTATGCAAAGATTTTAATGAAAAACAAAAAGAAAACAATAGACCAGAATGTGATTATTGGTTATACTTAAATACTTTTAACAAAGAGTTTAATATAGGCTTTTTTCAACCTAAGAAAGATAGATGTGACGTTTGTTTGGCGTATGAACTTGCACACGAGACAACAAAACTTGATTTAAAATCTGCTTATGAGAATCATCTTGAAGAGAAGAATTTATGCCGTCAAGAGAAAAAAAGAGATAGAGCAAATATTGACGACAGTAACATCTGTGCAGTATTTGATTTACAATCAGTGATGCTATGTCCTAGTCCTTCGTATTTTTATTACTGTTCGAAGATAAATTGTTTAGATTTTACCATCACTGAGTTAAATCCGACACAACAAGAAAATATTAAAGCCTATGAAAATGTGTTTTGTTATTTCTGGGATGAAACTCAAGGCAACAGAGGAGCAAATGAAATTGGTTCATGTCTATTTGAATACTTAAATACATTGAGCTCTAAACACCCAGATAAGAGCCTGAACATTATTTTTTATTCAGACAATTGTACGGGGCAAAATAAGAATAAAGTTATTGCCAGCCTTTATTCATTTGCAGTGATGCACTTTAAAAATATACAATCCATAACCCACAAGTATCTAATCAAAGGGCATACGCATAATGAAGCCGACAACGTGCACAGTTTGATAGAAAAAGAAATTAAAAAGAATGAAAAAGGTGGTCCTATTTACACCCCTTATCAATATGTCACAATTATCAAAAGCGCGCGGAAATCCGGAACACCCTTCACCGTTAAGGAAATGGACTACAATTGTTTCTATAACTTGAAACTATTGCAAGAACAGTGGGCGTATAACTTTAGTGAGGATACAGAAAGGAAAAAACTCATATGGAATGATGTTAAAGTCCTGCAATTTTGTAAAGAACGACCTTATTCATTCAACTACAAAACATCATATTCCCAAACTGCCTTCCAAACACTCAATATGCGAAACAAACGGAAGAAAATGGTAAGCGATGAATTAATCAGTCTTGAAAAATTATACGAGCAACCTATCGCATTAAAAGAAAATAAAAAAAGAGATCTCAAGAATCTCGTTAAAAAAAATCAGATTCCGCACTACTATGCAACTTTTTACGATTCATTGTAAATTGTGTGGTGAACTGACTAGTGGTAACTTACGGTATTCCGAGTTCCGTAGGTTTCTTTTTGTAATTTAAGTAACAGAGTTTAGTCTAGAGACAATTTATATATTTGATTAAAATAATAATATTTTTCTATAACTTCATAAGAACAATGTTACCTACCTATTAAGACTGATTACACGGGTAAGGCTGATAGTATTATGTACTTACCTACCTAAGACTGTAGATTGATAGTGCTATAATTAATAAATGATTCCAAAGCAAAATTTTGATTATAATTTTTGTTAAACTTTAATATTTTTATTTGATGTTCTTAAGTTTAATATCTTTCATAATTACTCTACATAGAAATAACTCTAATTTTGTTATACTCGTAACAACATGGTTGTTATTACTTATGTTTAAGATACTTTATTTTTGAAAGTTTATAATTGACACTTATAATTGTGCATTTATTAAAGTATTTTTGATAAACATGAATACAGTTTTTTATTAGTCCATAAGATTATAATACAGATTAAGAATGAAAGTGATCTAATTATTGTTAGGTTATTGAATATTTATAATTACCAGATTAAAACAGACATAAACCCTAATAAGCACCTTTTTATTTTTTGTTTTCAGTACTAAAGTGACCTATTTTCGGAAGTTTTTTTTTATTACACCATAAACGCACTAATTATTTTCATTATTACAAAAAACAATATTAAATTCGAAACTAAATAGTACAAAGATTAATTAGAATCATTAAGTTTGAAATTACCATTAAAATTAGCATGTCTTTAAGAGTCACAAAAAAAATTATTGTAACTTGCTGACTTTATTTCTTCGTTTGCCAAAAATAACGAATTTTGGATTGAGTCACTTACGTTCTCAGCGTGCGATATGAGAACAATAGCAGATAATCCAGTGAAATTAGAAATTGTTCTATTTCATTCGACTAGTTTGTGTATTTTGTCCATTTACACGAGGCCAATACTGGTATGACTCACTAGATCGTCTCTGCTACTGGCCTCGTGTAAATGATCCATTACAGCTATTGATATCGAACGTACATACATGCTAAAAATCAGAAAACTGTTTTTTGAGATACCATTTTTGCTTCATAAGGGCTGCGTTTTTAATGTATAAACAAAAACAATTATTATATAATTGTTATTATTTTAATTTCATCTAGCATGATGATTACAGACAATTAAATGATAGGATAAAAAAGTTATAGATAGAGCCCTTCTGGCGTGCCTTCCTTCTTCCTGTAAAGGACACTTTCCTTGGATTTTTTGAAGTCTTCATTAGTGACCTTCATACGTCTTTCTCTCAGTGCCATAAGACCAGCTTCAGTACATATTGCCTGTAAGAAATAATTTTATAGTAGGTTTACCTTTCAACTGGTTTGATATGTACAAAAATAAAACAGAATGGCTATATATTTTTACCTTTATATCGGCGCCAGACAAGTCATCTTTAGACATGATGAGCTCAGACAAATTTACATCATCTGCCAAAGTCATTCTTGAGGTGTGAATAGTAAAAATTCGCCTTTTAGTTTTCTCGTCTGGTAATGGAAACTCGATTTTTCTATCAATACGACCTGGTCTAATGAGGGCAGGATCTAAAGTCTCTATACGATTTGTTGCCATAATTACCTAAAAAAAAATATTATATAAACTGTTGCAACTAAAATTCTGTAAATAATGTGACAATACTCATACATAACCATGTTTACCTTGACATCACCTCGAGAGTCAAATCCATCGAGTTGATTCAGTAATTCCAACATGGTCCTTTGAATTTCCCTTTCACCTCCAGAATTGGAATCATATCTTAAAATTAAAGAATTGATTTAAACAATAATGTCAATACAAACTTATAAGTTAACTGTACATCAATATAAAATTACCGTTTAGTTCCTACAGCATCAATTTCATCAATGAATACAATAGAAGGAGCATGCTCTTCAGCCACTCTGAACAATTCACGAACCAGCTTGGGACCGTCACCCTAAAAATCAAATTATAGGATTAATTTGTGTTCAATTTTTAATGCAAACTAAATGATTGGTTGTTACTGATGCAACTGATGGATAGAGGAAAGAATAATGTAAGAGTAATTAATAATATACTTTATTATTGCAACATGTCCACACGTTGCAATAATAAAGTAACATTAGTTTCTTATAAGGGTTTATCTGTGTAATAAATATCAGTATCATTACCAAGTACTTCTGGATCAGTTCTGATCCTACTACTCGTAGAAAAGTAGCAGATGTTTGATTTGCTACTGCCTTTGCTAACAGTGTTTTGCCTGTGCCTGGAGGACCATACAGAATGACACCCTTTGGAGGCTTGATTCCCATCTCTTCATAATACTCAGGGTGTGTAAGAGGTAACTCCACAGACTCCTGAAAGTATAATATTTTTCTATAAGATAAACATCATTAAATTGGATCAATATATAACACAGGAATTAAGATGAATAAGTTAATGTTATAATAAATTAATTAATATTAGATGTTACGCAAATATAAAAAAATGCAAAATATGGATTAGTAGCAGGTAAAGTCACCTTTATTTCTTGAATTTGTGTATCCAGTCCTCCAATATCGGCATATGTCTCTTGTGGTGCCTTCTCCAATTTCATCACAGAGACCATTGGGTCTGTATCATCACCTAGTACACCAACAACAGCATGTACCTACAAATAGAAAAGTATGTAATAGGAGTTACCAGTAGATTTTTTTTTTTAAATATGTACTTGTTCAATTATACACGGAAATTTTGCCAACATCCCATAGTGATAGGGACACAACATCCCATATTGAGATTGTTCTTTCTCTACTAAAAAAAAAACAACACAAGAGCAAATATCTATAACTACAATAATATAAATACATAAAAGGACAACACAAAAGCTGTTTTGGAGAAGGAACCCTATTGAAAACCAAATATTTACATGGAACCCTAAAATGAAACAAATAATTGTTTATAATGTATTGGATACATGTTTTACATTAACTCTCATAATTTCCCGAAATATCATCAATATTTATGTAAAGTTCCCGAAACCAACATATGCTCTCCAGAGCACAATTCAAGAAATATAAATAAATCTTCATCACATTTTCACTAATAAACTATAGCATAGTCACTGAACAGAGAGAATTTTGTATGTTGACTTCTGTGCCTGCTGATTGCTGTAGTAAACATGTTAGGTTTACTTTACTAAGTCTACAGTGGCTAGATGCATGTGTGTGAGTGAAAGAGATGTTTAATGCCAAGTTGCTGAACAGAAAGAATGTGTAATTCTTTCTGTATGGCGACCATGCTATAATGGCAATTATAATGTGGAAACACAAACCTTATGGTTGAGCAGCACTGAGCAACCTGGTTCCAACTGATCTTTGTCCACAAAGGACAGTATGCTCACATAGTGCTCACTGCCCACAGAAGTAGACACAATGGCATGATTGTCATCTATTATTTCTTCAAGATTTCCTACTGACATTGGTGTGCCTCTTAAATCATCCACCTAAATAAATTTGTATATTTTAATCACTTATTAAACTACTAAACAAGCTGTACAATAAAAAAATTAGGAATGCGGGGAAATAAAAAAAAATACATTAAACAAGCAATTTTTTGTTAGTAGATAGTTTATACTATCTAAATAAAAGTTTTTTAATCTATTTAATGTTTTTTATTTGTAACTTAAGTAGCTCGGTGGCGTAGTGGATAAGCGCCGCGGCCCACAATCGTTGTCGTTAAGCAACTTTCGCAAGGGTCGGTCACGGGATGGGTAACCAAAAAATTATTATCTCAAGCTACTCCGTGCTTCGAAAAGCACGTTAAGCCGTTGGTCCCGGCTGCATTTGCAGTCGTTAATACCCTCCAATCTGCATTGGGCCAGCGTGGAGGGTCATGGCCCATCCTCCTTAACCATCCATAATGAAGGCCTGAGCCCCTGCAGTGGTGACGTAAAAGGGCTGATGATGATGATTTGTAACTTTATCAATAGCTGACAAAAAATTGCTGATTTTGGTGGCAATTCATAATTTTCAAAATTAGGCTAACATGCAACAATGAATAATCCTTAATGCTCCTTAATGAATAACATATTGTGTTAGGATTATTTCGTTCTAGAAGTTTTTAAATAAAAATGCAAGTCTTTAATGTTATCAATTCTGAGAATGGAATGTCACTACATACCTTAGATCTCTCTTCCTCGATCTTTTCTTCTTGGGGCTTCAGTCTTTCTTGATTGCGGATGAATTCTTCTTCCATCAGAAGATAATCCTTGATTCTCTCCAACTTTAATAGCTTTAATCGACATCTCGTGTGAGGAGTCACTTGAGGTAGTTTCAAAGCAGCATCTGGACCTTTCGCCTTGCGTTTTTTCTTGCCTACTCTTGTTGGAATTGGAGGCTCATATTTTTTCTTCTTATCCTTGTCATCCTTCTTGTCTCCGCCACTTCCACTTCCAGACTGATTTTGGCCCTAAATATGAAAGAATAAATGAGTGTTTCAATACATAACAATTGAGAGATTTGGGCTTAGTTTAATTTTAAATCTTATAACGAGTAATAAAACTTACCATTCTCTGTACTGCGAACTAAATTGTTGTGACAATATTTAACTCGGATGACGATTACAAAGCGAAAATTTTTAGTATCTTTAGACAAAAAAATATTGTTTTGTTGTAGATAAAGACAAAGACATAGATCTATACAGCCTAATCACGAGTATTCCATTTGAACTTCACTTGAATGGATTTTTTTCTTAGTTTGATTATTACAAGCTGAAAGATGCAAAAGAAGAGAGAATTCCCTACACTGAATTATCATCACATTTGCTGTTTATGTATTGGGAGTTTTTATTTTAGTAATTTACATTTATATTAACAGTGTCCCTATCGAATATAGTAACGTGGACGTCAACTCTCAATGAGATGACTGGATTACCAGCGTACCGTGACCGTCACACGTAATCTTTATCTTATCTTAATATTTTTTAGCATTGTTTTTAATTATTTATCTTAACGTTTTAAATAGATTTTTCTCATTATTATTTTCTATTTCACATCCCTAGTTTTTGCTGTGCTGTCACACAGCTGTCATTGTGTCGTAGTCAAGGTGTCTGGAAATATTTTAATCTATCCTCAAGTAAAAATATTAAATCGAATGATCTGTAATGTATAGCTAAAAATGTTACAAAGGCTACATTATAATTACATTTTGAATTAAATGTATATAACGCAACAGATTCGATTAAAATTTTAACTGCTCTGTAAATCTTTCAAGATGGTTTTAGCAGATTTAGGTCGTAAAATTACCACCGCATTACAATCGCTCAGTAGGGCTACAATCATTAATGAAGATGTAAGTATTATTAAGCTTAATTTATGTTATGTAGGCCAGAAATGGTAAATAGTATAAATAACCTTTATTACGAAATTTAGATACTCACTGTGTTTTGTCACTTCTAGGTCTTGAATTCCATGCTTAAGCAGATTTGCGCTGCTCTTTTAGAAGCTGATGTTAATATCCGCCTAGTAAAAAATCTTAGAGAAAATGTGCGCGCAGTTATTGACTTTGATGAAATGGCTGGTGGTCTCAACAAGCGGAGAATGATACAGTCTGCTGTTTTCAAAGAGTTGGTAAAAGTAAGTAAAGTCAATACTGTCTAAAATACAATTTAATTAGTAGTATGTAGAGTGTGATAAGTTTAGAAATGATATAATGGTGATAATAATGTACGCATAACAACCAAACAAATCCAATTCTTGCAATGGCATTGTCACATTTCTTTATCTACACCCAAATCAATAAATTCAAATTACGCATTCAAAGATGATTCTATACATACACACTTATGTATCATAAAACTCATAATAGTACTGCTACCTTTTTTTATTCATTAAACTAGTCTATGGTTTTAGACTGAATATGAAAAAAAGGTGCACGCATAAATAACTTCCTTGTAACCTACCTAATTAGTATAATATATGATATTCAAAAATTTATAGGTAAATTTGGTGTCATGAAACGCTTTTGGAATGGGAGTAAAATGACTTTTGATGATATTTTCGAAGAGTTTTTTGATAAAAATAAAAAGTATTTTATTTTTAAAGTCGGTAACTTATAACATAATGTAAATAAAAAGTAATTATATGTGTCCCAAAAAATTTACATCTTAAACTATACCCATGGAAGACAAAATAAGAGAGATTCGAAGAACAACCCTAAAACCACTTGCCTGTACAGTGGACTCATGGTAATATGGGCCCTGTCTAATCTGGAGCCGCCTTTATCACCTATCACTGTTGAAAGTTATACATTCATTCCAGTTCTTGTTTTCACTCACTCATCATCATCATACACAATTCACTAATCATCTTTTATTTCTTAATAATTCCTGTTCGATGTTGGTTAGTTAATTTCATCATAATATTGTTATTCCATAATTCCAGTTGGTGGACCCTGGTGTAAAACCCTATCAACCAATTAAAGGAAAACCAAATGTCATAATGTTTGTGGGTTTACAAGGTTCTGGTAAAACTACAACTTGCACAAAACTGGCTTATCATTATCTCAGAAAAAACTGGAAATCATGTTTAGTTTGTGCAGATACTTTCAGAGCAGGTGCTTACGATCAGGTTAAACAGAATTGTACAAAAGCTAGAATACCATTTTACGGAAGGTAAGTAATTCAATATTAAATTGTATCTTATATTAATAACATATATGATATGTAGATAGCAATAGCTATAATATTCTTAATGAAAAATGCTTAAATAATCTATTTTATGCTCTCTGGTCGAGTCCAGAGAGCACAAAATAGATTTTTTATGACCTTTTGCCGCCAAAAGTACCCATGACCTTTTGCCCAGGAAATAACAGGACTGATGAATCTTTCTAGTACTTGTTACTTTTCGCTACTACAGAGCGTATTTTCATCAATGTTCAGGTAATCCACCCAAACAGCTGAAAGGAATATTTTGCCACGAGTGCCAGGAACAAAGTGGAATTTTCAGGCATTTTTCATTAAGAATATTTTTCAGTATATCATTGTGAATGCAAAATTGATCAAATACAATAACCAATAGTGATGTTGTTTATTTTTGCAAAAGATATTTGGATAAAGGCAGTAATTATTTGTTGCAACTGTCTGCCTGTCTTTAATAATAATTACATTTCACTTTTAAATAATAGCCCTGCATTATTAAACACTTATAATAACGGGTATTATATGCAATTTTTACACTGACCTGCACCGACGTTTGGCCGGGTTGCACTGGCGGTAGTCAGGACGAGCCTTTATGCTTTTTGTCTAAGGAGTGACAGACAAGATCGCTCATGTATTACGTGAGTACTCCATTCCGACAGTTTAAACTCCAGGTATGAGTGAGTGACATCATAGGCACCCCCAAAGATGCTCTGCCTTTGTCAAATCTGGGTTTACAAAATCGACTGTAACTGTGGTGGTTCCTATATAGGTTAAACCAAGAGATCCATCAAAGAAAGGATTAAAGAACACATAGCATCTGCCAAAAACCATAAGTCGAATAAGTCTGCCATTGCTGAACACCTACTGAAAAGGGGCACAAATCACTGGATCGAGTTTTACCGTACGCAAGTCCTTTCCACGGATTGCCACTATTAATGAAAGGTAGTGCGTGAAGCGATTGAAATTAAGAAACATCCTAATAACTTCAACCGGAAAGACATATAAATTGTCACTAGTGTGGAATACAATATTTGCTAAAACGCAATCTCTTTTTTCGCAATCGGCAAATCTCCAGAATACGGCTCATGTGCGGAATAGGGACACCGTTAGTGTTGTTTGTGGTTGGATGAAAAATCTGAAGGTGGAAGAAGATATGAATCTTCTTGAATCCTCGGTGGAAAGAGGCGTAGACTTGCTGCTCCAGTCTCGTCGTGACCACGGCCGATTCAAGCCGGCCGAAACGTCGGCGTAGGTCAGTGTAAAAATCGCGTCTAATACCCGTTATTATAAGTATTTAATTACATTCTTTATGTTATATAAAAAAGGTTTATTTATTTTTTTCTTTCAGTTATACAGAAGTAGATCCTGTAGTGATCGCTACGACTGGTGTAGAAATGTTCAAAAAGGAAGGTTTTGAAATGATAATTGTTGATACTAGTGGCAGACATAAACAAGAAGAATCACTTTTTGAAGAAATGTTGGCTGTTGCTAATGCTATTGTAAATTTCTTAATCTTATATTAATTTTATTTCAAGTAATAATTTAAAAAAAAATCAAATATTATTGTTAAACTTATTGTTAATATTTTTTAATGAAATTTCATGTTTCAGTCACCTGATAATATTATTTTCGTCATGGATGCTACAATAGGTCAAGCTTGTGAGGCACAAGCTAGAGCTTTCAAAGAAAAGGTTGATATTGGATCAGTTATCATTACAAAATTGGATGGGCATGCCAAAGGTGGAGGTGCTCTGTCCGCGTAAGTAATTAACAAGCTTATTAATAAATGTCATTCCTTCTCATTATCTGTCTTATTATACTATCTAGACCCTTATTCTAATAGTGATGAAATTATGATTCTCTAAAATGTTGATTGGCCATCATCATATTTTAAAATTTTTTTTATGGTTGCCATTATTTTTATTGCACTTAAATTGTTACAGTGTAGCAGCAACTCAGAGTCCTATCATTTTTATTGGTACTGGAGAACACATTGATGATTTGGAACCATTCAAGACAAAACCATTTATTAACAAATTACTGGGTATGGGTGATATAGAAGGTCTGTTAGACAAAGTCAATGAACTTAAATTGGATGACAATGATGAATTGTTGGAGAAATTGAAACATGGTCAGTTCACATTAAGAGCAATGTATGAGCAGTTTCAGAATATAATGAAAATGGGGCCGTTTTCCCAGATAATGGTATAGTATTTTTTATGGCAATACATTTAGAGACAAGTTACATATATTTAATCTATATTCTGTTCTTTAAATTAAGATTTAATATAAAGTGTAATAATAAATTGATAATAAATGCTTTTAGGGGATGATACCCGGATTTTCACAAGACTTAATGTCGAAGGGTAGTGAACAAGAGTCAATGGCCAGACTGAAACACCTGATGACAATTATGGATTCCATGAATGAAGGGGAATTGGATCATAGAGATGGGGCAAAACTTTTCACTAAACAACCAACACGCGTCACCAGGGTTGCGCAAGGTGCAGGTGTTACAGAAAGGGATGTTAAAGATTTGATTACCCAATATACTAAATTTGCAGCAGTAGTCAAAAAGATGGGCGGTATCAAAGGTCTGTTCAAAGGTGGCGATATGGCTAAAAATGTTAATCAAACACAGATGGCTAAGCTAAATCAGCAAATGGCTAAAATGATGGATCCTCGCATACTCCAACAGATGGGTGGGATGTCAGGACTTCATAATATGATGAGACAACTGCAACAAGGATCTAGTGGCATGAATAGCCTCATGGGTGGGAAATGACAATAAAGATTCAACGTGTAATACATGTAATTAAACTACTATAATCAATAAATATATAAATTTAACTTGATTTATTTTTTGCATTGTAGCAAAGCTTTATACTCTTGATTTTGTTAAAAATAAGAGTTATAACTTCATTTAATGGACCTACCAAGATGACTTTGATTACTTGTAACGTGTTCGTCGAGATACGCAAACCAACGAATTTAAGGTTTTTCATATGTCAATACATCGCGAGTAAAAAGTGATAAATAGCATATATATAATTAGTGACACTTAATTAAGAAATTGAAATGTCTTTGTGTGCCTACTAGCTAGAGGTCTAGATAGCAATCGCACAAGATATACGATTCGTATTATTTTGGATTATGCGACAGATAATAGGGTATTTGACACTTTTCTGAAAACTATTTTAATTCGTTGTTTGCTACATTATAAACACACTGTCTAATATTTCAGTGGAATCTTTTCTATTTTTGGTGAAAATAATTGTTAAAATTTAAATAGTTAAAAGCGCGCGAAAAACGCTGCACTATGTAATGGCGCTGATCGTGACGTCACAGGCCAGTAAATATTTCAAATCGATAAGTAACAACTGTCTTTAGAGTAAATTGAAATAATAATTAAGAAGAGAAATTGAAGTCGTAGTGCGTATTTTTTACGTTTTTTATTTTCCTCTGCTATGGTTTTCTTTAAAAAATGAGCTACAAGTGGTGCGTAGTGCCACAATGTACTAATACTTCTATAAATAACAAACAAACTTCGATTCTAGAAGAAAATAGATTCACAATAGTCTAGAAGCTATATAAAGTAGAGATGGGTGATAAAATTAGGTAAGGATTCACTTAAAGTATTGTAATATAATAATTCAAAAAACAAAGTCGATCGTGTTGATATATACTGTTATCCAAGTTAAAAACTAATTTAAAAAAATCATCGGGATCTGATATCTAATAGGGTATTTGACACAAAAGATAAACCGATGTTTATGATTAAAATTTCAATATATCCTTAGGGTCATTTAACGTTCTCTAGATGTACTAGCTAGATGATCTTGTCGAAATTAAAACATCGATATTTCTAGCTTAACATCTATGTTTAATCAACATCGACGAATATCGATCATCCCTAGGCGAAATCAAGTGGTCAAGTTAGTCATTAATGAGGAAGTATTTAGAAAAAAAGCATTAGTTCCCGAAATCAAACTAGATGTCACTAAAGCGCTTTCTTGTTTTCTCCATGACAACTCTTTCAGTTTTCTTTCATGTATAAAAGTAAATTAATTTTCAAAACTCAATAAACAACCCATATTCTATTTGTAAATTTCGTATTTGTATTGATATGTAAGTTTCGAACTTTGCAAATTTCAGTTTTTTAATATGTTAGTTTAAAGGAACGGAAATGACTATCTTTCGTCTAATCGTTTCCTGCAAAAATCAACTTTTGCTAGAGTCGCCATCTAGTAGAGGTGCTTTTTAAGTGCTATCTTTCTTTTTCTTAAATACTTCCTCATTGCACAGTGTAATATAAGTAGACAGTGGTGAAACTGCCTATAAGCGTTCGAAATCGCACGCACACGTAAACACGCTCACCGACGAGCCGCCTAAGTGCTTTGTGCTACGAACTAACGTAATCCTGCGTAATCCTATCGGCGACTCGATACGTTTAGGTTACGAATACTCTACAAGTTCGTGCTCGCCCTACTGGACCCTCAGTAACGCGTGGTAACGTGTACATTCCGTTTTTATTTAGAAGAAAAGGATAGGAGTAGGCTTATGTGAAATAAAAAAAAATATTTTTTTATTTTGATGTTTTTTTTTTAAATACCCATTTCAGTATCTGTCGCGACGAATCGCGAGAAAAGCAGGTAATATTTACAAATTGAATATAATATCAAACAAACGACAGCTACATTAGTATGACTAGGATAATTTGGTTGAACTAACTAGGCAGCATAATGATTAATTTTTTGCTAATGGTAACTAATGTGAGTAAAGGATTGAATGTACCAATCACCGTGAGTTCTGAATCACCAAAGCAAAATTGGCCAATTAGAATCTTATATGCCGGTCATGGTTTACATTACCAACATAAAAGTTTGATTAGTATAGTAAGCCACTGTGGTATAAGTTGTTAGAATCTTACCGCGCAATTTTTTTTGCGGCGCTTCGGAGTCAACAATTACAATAGAAAACTGCGGTCTGGTAAGTGAGATCCCTATTATACTTTTGTTATATGTGCATAATGATTTTATAAGGGAATTCCGTTACTTCTGGGAAGTAAGACTGGCCGAGGAAACGCGGCTAGTAGATGAGTTGATATAGTTCACATGATTATAGTTTTGTTATGATATAAGTTGCGATTTCACGGAAGTCAGACCGGCTGAGGACATGCGGCCGGTGACCAGCTTGATGGCTTGTTGGACACTCGCTCTCATGGAGAGCGGGCTTAATGATTGATGACTTCTTGGACGCTTGACTTGGATTGCTTGAGGACAATTGACGACTTGTTGATAAGGCTCGCCCTCAGGGAGGGTAGGCTGGATGATGATAATTTGTTAAGGCTCGCCCTTAGGGAGGGTAGGCTGGATGATTGATAATTTGGTAAGGCTTGTCTTCAGAGAGGGGAGGCTGGATAGTTGATAATTTGGTAAGGCTCGCTTTCAGGGAGGGGAGGCTAGATGATTTATGATTTGGTAAGGCTCGCCCTCAGGGAGGGCGAGCTAGAATTGTTGGCATAACTAACATATAATCTGTGATGAACAATTGTGAAATTACCTATGTATTACATTTGACATGTTTTTCAGTGTATATTGTATAATTTATGTGTAAAATAAGGGAACTCACTTCGACTGTGTGTCGTCGTCGATCGGCCATGACTTTGCACGTATTGACGTGTGAAGTCAGGATGCCATAAATTTCTAGACGCGAGCGACCTGACTCTCAATGACCGGCTTCCAGTTGAGTAATGGTCGAGTCGCCCGACGAGTAGATGAGTCTTGACCTTGTAAGTCTCGAGAATTAACTAGGTAAGAAATTCTGCCAAGATCTTAGACTATTCCTACCTCCTGTAGGTTTTACCCATCAATTATAATCTCGATTTCATAAGGTGAATTCATATCGGTTCATAAATATATTAACGTAATTCCTATATTATCTCATTTCATTGTTATCGTGGATAACGTTGTAATCTGCGATGTGATGGGATGGGATTCATCTGAACACAGGCGCTAGATTCGCGACAATGTAAATTCAGTATAAGCAAAGCAAATCATATCGTGTTCTGTTGCTGTTGAAGTTAAGTATAATGATTCGACGTAAAGCAATGAATTAACAAAGCAGATACCTATTTATATACATAACATCTTTATGATCATCATAATTTTTTCCCCGGTGCGACATAACAGAGGGATGTGTTATCATCTCGATATATAGAATTGATTAGGAATTGAATCGTCGCGACAGTATCATGCACATTATCGGGTTGAAACGCAGTACGGTCCAGCCCGAAAATGCGTGATAAACACCCAAAAACAGCCGCTCATGAGCACGCCACCTAAATACAGTGCCGACCTACCACGCTTCCGATCCGAATAGCGCACGAAACGTCCAACCCCGGCTATGTTTCCGTCAAATCTTGTACAAGATTATGCCCTTATGTCAAGTTAAAGATCTACATAAAAACAAAGATTTAAAGTTGTTGTGTGTCAATATTAAACTATTTCTCGTATGTTAAACTATCGTCTTTTGCTGAGATTAACCGATTTATAACCGACTTTAAAAAAAGAAGATTATCAATTCGACCCGTAAGTATGTAATATTTCCAGAACTGCTCAGTTTTCGCATATGTTAGTCTATATCACCACAGTGTTATCTACAGTGTAATACAATATAAGTAGATATCACCGTCTGAACAAATGAGCCAAATTTCAAAAATGTATGTATCTATATTTTTTGTTTGTTAATTAGTTATTACAATTCAATTGATTAATCATGTCAGATCATCTTTTATATTTAAAAAAACAATGTCCAAAACATTAAAAGTGACAACCCTATGGTTTCAATGGAGCGTAGGTATTTATTTTATCAAATAGTGATTAGTGGTGTTACACTTATACTGTGCTAATTGTTTGTGTCGATCAAAATAAAATCATTTATATCTTCTATTAAAAAAGACTTGGCTGTGGCCGTTGAATTTGATTATTTAAGAACATAATTACAAATGACAAGGCTGTATGGGCTAAGCACCCTTTGCCTTCCCCACCTCTGTAGGAATGGGAAAATTGAACCAATATAAAAAAAATTATATATTCAAAATACAGTTCAAAATATAAAAGAAAATCAGGAGAAACATTACATTGAAAGAAGAATCTACTTTTATCTTGGCTGTATGGCATATATATGACCTTTGCCTTTCCAATTCAAAATAAAAGGAAGAAAGATAACAAAAAAAAGTCTGTGATCATTTAGGAGAAACATACTACTCTTTGGGAGAAACTTTTAAATGTTATAGTTCGAATTTACAAAATATTATATAATAACTTTTTATCTAATTTCAGATTATGAACACAATTTTTGCAATTTTAACTAACTTCACTCGATATTGCAAATTGAAAGTATGTAAAAATGTTGGTATTGTTTTTATAACCTCAATTCAAAATTAATTATTCAGTTTTTTCTTATTATCTGTGTTTTTTCTACTTCTAGACTTATTGTATTAGTGCAAATAAACTTCAAAAGCGTCGTCGACTTCGTTCTAAAATAGATATGGAACTTAAATGTCGAGAAAGTCCAGTAGTAACTAAATTGTCTTCTCCAGAATTTCATAGTATATTCACCCCAGAGGTTCAACAATTAAGAAATATTTTTGATAAACATAATTATGAAATTAGAATTGCTGGAGGAGCAGTCAGGTTAGTCATGGTCTTATTATTTACATAAGTCCATAGTAAATAGGCAAATGGAAAACTGACCACTTAATTTTCAGAGACCTTCTGTTGAAACAAAAACCTACTGACTTAGATTTCGCTACTGTAGCAACACCTCAGCAAATGAAAGATATGTTTACAGTTGAAAATATCAGAATGATTAATATGAATGGAGAAAAACATGGTACCATTACACCCAGAATTAATGACAAAGAAAACTTTGAAGTAACCACCTTAAGGATAGATATGATCACAGATGGCCGTCATGCAGAAGTAGAATTTACAACAGACTGGAAGTTGGATGCTAACAGGAGGGATTTAACAATAAATTCAATGTTTTTAGGTACTGAAAATATTCAAATTCAGTTATGATTTATATTCTCAATTACTTCTTCTTTCTTTTCTTCTCAATTACAAACATCTCGAATAAATATTGCATAAAAATTCACACTTGCAACTAAATGGAAAGGGTGAACCATATTAAGTATTTAGTATACAACTTTAAACTGGGATGATTGAATTGCCCATCAAACATCTCGAAAGAAAACTAATATGGATATTTATATAGTCTCTCCTCCCTAGAAATATTTTGCATAGTAAAGCCATTATAATTAGGGTTTCAATGTAATTATAGAAGTCATTAATAAACATAATGAAAAAACTGGGTTGAAAAGAAATAATTTTATCATAGGTCACATTTATTAATTAAAATTGACATTTCAAGTGCTAATGATCTGAACTTATCATTAGAATTCATATTCATAATAATAATATTTTTCAGGGTTTGATGGTTCTGTATATGATTACTTTTATGGGTATGAAGATTTACAGAACAGGAGAATTGCATTTGTTGGTGATCCTGATGTTAGAGTCAAAGAAGATTATCTGCGAATAATGCGATATTTCCGTTTTTATGGCAAAATTGCACAATATCCAGATCGGCATGAAGAAGAAACTCTTAAGATACTCAAAAATAATGTAGATGGTTTACAGAATATCTCTGGTGAAAGAATCTGGGTTGAGCTTAAAAAGACTTTGCAGGGGAATTTTGCTGGCTATTTACTAAAAACAATGATTGATGTTGGTGTTGGACCTTTTATTGGTATGTTATATCAATGTAATTACAATAATTGTTCTAAAACTTGACTCACAAATTTCATAGTTTGATTTTCTACAGTTTGCATAATCAGGTCATGATTATTATTGCGCAATATTTGTGCATTTTTACTGAAAGCATCTAATGATCAGTTGCACAAATGTCTGTAAATGGCATATTTTTGTTGAAGTTTTGAAAAATAAGGCATTTAGACACTGTCAGTTGAAGGTTAGTAACTTTACAGCCCATTCCCCTGCTTTCCTACACCCATAGCTACAAGTCTTTGTAAACACGCCACTATATAACAGTTTTATTTGGTACAGTAACAACGCGACTTTACGATTTTCTTTGTAAGCGTTTCCGGTATTGGGCCCTTACAATCCTTCAGCGTACCCTATGAATTTTAAAAGCAGTTTCGTTGAAGCTTTTTCTTTTTTGCCTATATTATATAATGATGAATTTGGCGCCCTCCTGACTCTTGCTAGCTCTAGCACCCGGGGCAGGTACCCCACACTTGCTCTGACGCGGGCAGCCATGACGGAGAATCGTGTGACAATAAACTAATATAAACATCAACATCTTTGTTACGAGTGCAGATGTAACGTTACCGATTGTTATCGCGCTTGGATATCAAATAATGAGTAGAAATATGTTAGTTTTTTCTTTTATTTTAAAAAACTTTTTGGCAAAAAATATATCTGATAGTGGTTTAATATGATAATATTTTTAAATACTTTTCCAAAACATCTGACATCAATAAGGCATATCAGTTGTACCTGTCAGTGTTAGATAATTAAATATATTATAGATACTTACATATCATCATCGTAAAAAAAACACTGTGGGACTCACTGCCGGTAAATATCATTTCTTCAATCTGGATTCATATTCCTGTTTGTATTATTTTGTGTATTTGTATTAGTATATGTATTTACTTTTAAGACTTCTTTACTCAATCAGTACCTATAGTTTCTTTTAGCCAAGGGTAGCCTTGCAGAGATAGCTACTTTAGCAATAGGGCCGCCTTTTGCATCTATTTCTAATTATATTTCTTTTCATGTTTATGTTTTACTGGACAATAAAGTATGTATTCATTCATTCAAACAATATTTTTAGGGTTACCGCATACCCCAAACATAGAAGAACTGGACATGGTACTCAAACGTGCGGAGCACTTAAACTTACATCCTATGGTTTATTTAGTAGCGTTGTTAAGAGATATGGATGACGTTACGGTGTTGCATAATAGGTTAAAATTCTCAACCTATGATCGCGACATGGCTTATTTTTTAGTTGAAAATAGGAAAGATGAAGTGGCGTCAGAACGACCGTTGTTGTAAGTAAAGATACGTTATTTGTAATTCTTGTAAAATATGGATCTAGTTGTAAATATTGCAATATAATAAAATGTTTATATGTTTTAGACCTTACGAGAAGTTAGTTATAAATACAAAAATAAAACAACAAAATGCTTTGGAGTATGTAAGAGAAGTTCTTAAATATAAAGGTGAAGAAAAATTGTTAACTCAGTTCAATAATTGGGAGATACCACGTTTTCCAATTAGCGGTAAAATATTGAAGGAAAATGGTGTTCCTCCAGGCAAGATGTACGGCCCAATTATCACTAAATTAAAAAATATATGGATTGAGAATGAATATAAGCAGACCGTTGACGATTTAGTTCACATTATACCAAGTGTAATAGAGGAGGTCAATGATCAAAATAAAAATACCTAATAATCAATTTTTTCCAATGTATTAATGTTCCCGTTTTCTTAAGTTTTGGACTTTAATAGTCCAAAATAAGTTTAGCTAAAATTGGTGTAAGCGGCAAGTAATTTTGTTCATATTGCCAAGACGTGATCGAAATTTCTTGAGTAATTAGCACTTCTACCGAGGTGTTAGTACAGGATTGGTATTGTATTAGAATCACGAATAAGGCGCCTATTAGACTACCCAATCTATCGGGCACGATATATCGGTCGCGATTTAGGGCGGTTGGTGTCGTTGTGATTACACTGCACTAGATCGCCTCCCTAACTCAGTTGGCATGCAAACGTGGCGTTGAAAGGATGGCTCCTTCGCTCACAAAGTACCAAAAAATTGGCATAGCCCATACTTTAACTGCGGGCGTAAGTAGTAAAACAAAATGTTGGGTGAAAAATATTTGCTTCTTAATGACCAACTATGCAGTTTGAACTACTACAGAATGAGTTCTGCACAATTTGATCATATATTAAACTTAGTCATACCTTATATAGCGCAAAACAGCGGTTAGCTGTGCTGTAACCTTAAAATTTTTAGCAACGGGAAATGCATATCATGAATTCATGACTTAAAGTATAAATACTCAATAAGTTTATTGTTTCCATAGGTAATTTAAAATAATATTACATAATTAAGTTAGTCTCACTATGGACCCTATCGGGCACAACAATAATATAAAGTTTATTATAGCATTAGTTTTTATTATTGTAATTTATATAAAATTAATAATTGTACCAGACACATGCAAAGGCTATATAGAAATGTTTAAAACATTATATCATATTGATATAGAAAAAGTAATAATATTAAATTACACTTAATATTATTTCTTTTCCTTTTGAGAAGACATTTTTGTCTGTTAGCAAATTTCGTTGTCGTTCACTGACGTCTCACACGCACGCTGCGCAACAACCGACTGAGCGCTCTAACACCCTAACAGCGATCACATTACCCAATAAATCGGCCCTAACTCTCATCGGGCGATCGGGCGCCCACGTTCACCCGATATCGGGACCCTAACTCTCTAACTGCGATTAGACTACCCAATTTACAGTGTACCCGATGGATCGGGCCCGATAGATTGGGTAGTGTAATAAGCGCCTAACTTCCATTGCAACTACAACATTAATATAAGTATAACAAAGACTAAAATGCTCTACACAGACTACTCGAGTTTGACTCGTACTCGAGCTTACGAAGGAAGTCCCTTGGATCACAGTTTTCGCTTTTATTGCGAAGGAATAAGAGTTATGCCGCGGGACTTCTTTCGTGAGACAAACTTTAGTTATCACTTGCATCGAGAATAGGCATGTAACCTATTAAACAGCTACAATGTTTCAGATATTTTTTTATTCTAGATTGTCTATTCCGCCGTTTGGACAGATGTCATTTTCGAATGAAATTATAGTTCAGACACTCGTCACTTGAAACTTTATTTATGTAGTTCAAGTAATAAATACACAATTAAAAATATTTGGCTGTTAAATAATTATACTTATATAATAACAAAATTTAACTCTTATATTACGACGCTTAAGAACCAAGACCATCTATCTAGAAAAAGTCGATTTTACAGGAGACGAAAAAAATGTTTCATATTTTTTCTACAATAAGTTCTTTTTTATTTTTATATCTGAACATTTAATGGATAGACATGGGAAATAAGGTGTTTACGTGTATTTCATGAAATCTATATTAGTTTCAAAAATACTGTAGATGGTATTAGTTAAAATGTTTGCGTATGTTTATGCAGCTAACTATAATATAGATGTTATTGGCACCTTTGAAACGACAACAATTTGGTTTTACAAGGGGTCGCTCAACAACCGAAGCTGGTGTCGATTTAATACAAGAAATTTTTAATACCTGAGTGGACTCGCATGATGCGTTAGGTATTTTTGTGACCTATCTAATGTATTTGATTGTGTTTTTCATGAAACATTGATAAGGAAACTTCATTACTATGGATTTAGTAATAACTAAAAAATAAGGGTTGATATCAATGGCAAAAGATTCCTTGGATCGAAAGATAAGCTGGGTGTTCCGCAGGGCTCAATACTTGGTCCTTTCTTATTTTTAAATTACATAAATGACTGGCCTTGTTTCGTAATGGATAATCACGACATAGTTTTGTTTGCGCATGACACTTCACTTTTTTTTAAAATTAAAAGAGGGCTACCTTTAAATGACGATGTGAACAATTCCATCGCTAAATGTACTACTCATTGGTTAAATGTAAACAATCTTCTCCTTAATGAAGGAAAAACAAAATGCCTAAAATTTGTACTACCTCATGTTAAAAAAGTAGAAATAAATGTAAATATAAAAAATAAGAACATGGGCCTTGTGAATACTACGGTATTTTTAGGAATAACATTAGATTCTTAACTACAGTGGGGCCCACATATTGATAAATTGTCGAATAGACTTAGCTCTGCAGCATATGCCGTAATGAAGATACGTAGGTTAACATAGATAAATACTGCCAGATTAGTATGCTTCAGTCACTTTCATAGTGTAATGTCGTACGGAATCCTGTTGTAAGCTATTAGTTCAATTTATAATCTTAGGATTAGGGACTCTTTAAGGGAGAAATTTAAAGAAATAGACATAATGACTGTTGCTTCTCAATACATATACGAGAACTTGATGTACGTTCGTAAAAATATTAGTTTGTTTTCTGTAAAAAGTGATGTACATACACAATTTTAATACAAGAAATAACAATAAATTAACGGTGCCTGTCACTAGACTGCAAAAAGTTAGTAACTCATTCAGGGGTCTTTGTGTGCGCTTCTACAATAAAGTCCCAAGCAAAATACAACAATTAGATATCATGCAGTTTAAATCTATTATTACAAGTTTTATACATAAACATACTTTTGAATTACCTTATCTATTAACCGAAAGAACCGCATCTAAATTCGTTGCGTAGTTTTAAATATCTCTATGTGATAGATTACGGAAAGGAACTGTTTTATACTATGTATTGATATTTACGAGAATAAAGTGGCGAAAAAAGTTAATATACATATAGATGAAAATGAATTTATTGCGACATTACCAGAACATATTAATGAAACACTGGCCTCTCAATTTAAGTAACTTGTGTCTCAGAAGCCAGTTCCTTCCTTAAATTATACACTTTATTGAGTTAGATAGAGTATTCTTCTCTGTTTGAATTAGTACTTGTGTTCTTGCCTTAAAATTAAATCAAAATTAAAAAAGTCTTTCAAATTTCTTTATTATGTTTTCCTTAATATTTTCGTTTACATATTTTTATTTGATTTTACAAAATCGTAATCGTGAAGATTGCATTTACTATGATATATTGTTTCTTACAGCTGTTTAGAAACAGCTTATCTGAACATTTAATGAAGATAGCGAAAGGTCACTAGAAAGCTTTGTAATTCTCATTAGGATGCCAGTTGGGAGAGAGCACTTTTCCAGACAGCGAGAGGTCGTCTGTTTGAGTACAGCCCGGTATTGGAGACGATTTTTTGCAGATAAATTTGGAATATCATTTAATACATTTTTATATATAAAAAAAAATGTCTTTATAAGCGCGTTATATAAAACTGTTAAATTATATTACATTTTATTATTTAATTACATACATTAATCACATCATTTATAAATCAACAAATACAGCGTGTCCGGTGGCTTATGTTTTTGCAAAGTTATATCTAAAAAAGTTATTGACGATGCGGAGGGAGGTGACGCTCCGAGAGTGCGGATTTATTAGCCACAATGCCGCAATGATCGGGACAGCAACGTGCGTACATATTGACGCGTTTTTAAAAGTGATGATTCTTATGTGGAAACTCAAACGGGACCCAGTAGAAAGAACATCAATTCCCTGAGAATATTCAAGCGGTTGAATGAACCTTACGTGTTACCTGTTGCAGCGCGGTACGAAATATGGTGAATCGTTTCCAACAGTGTGCGCGTCTAAGTGGACAGCATTTGGATGAAATCATTTTTAAAAAGTAAAATCCGCTGTATTCTATAATTATTGTAATAGTTAAAAAGGTCATAAGAATACAATTTTTTCTTTTATTAGTTTTCAAAAACATAAATCTGCCACCAGACACCCTGTACAATTTTAGTGCATTTTATTATCATTGAATTAAAGATATTTATTTTATCGACAAGCTACCTGTTTTATTCTTGCTACCATGGTCTGGGGATACATTTTAGTGATGTTATGACGATACTACGTCTGACGATTAAATAATTAGACTGCGCAGCTATTGGAAAAAACGAGAAGTGCGTTAGGTATCTGGGAATCTTTTCTATTCACGAACCAAAACACGTTTTCGTCGCTGTTATAGGATTTGCGTAGTAGCGGTTTGAAACGGACAGGAGCAACGATCAATGTCAAATTTTTTGTCTAATAAAAAAAAAACTCCCGACCGAGTGCGATGGGGACAATCGTGCGCGTGTTTTTGAGTGGTGTGCCGAGAGAGCACTGATAACCAGCGGTCAGGTCGCACTGTCACTGATTCAACTCCGAAAATAGTGAGAGGGCGACCTGGAGTAAAGATAAAATCTGCTTCGAAAGGGACCTGATTTGAGTCGATGGAAGCGGTAAAAAGGTATGGAATCTTTTAAAAACTATTGCAAAATTAATAGTATTTTTTTTTCTTTTTTATACAGGTAAAAATCTGGAAAAGTATTCTACGTAATTAATGGATGGTGACTAATAACTATTTTAGATTAATAAGAAAGGCTATAGTGCTGGCCGGGGTGGTACGTAGGGTTCATATTTATTACATCCATCATCGTCATCCTTGTGTTCCATAAAACATCTTTTACAGAATAAATACTGACATCCCAAGCATCTCATTTTTGCATCTTCATTACATATTTCACAAAATGGTAACTCATCATTTGTTGATGGAGAAATATTTTCATCCACTAATAATAAAGATTCAGCTTTCACCTGTAAGTTAAAGTACTAATATTATTGACAAATTAATAATTATCAAATATATGAAAAGCCATAAGGTGGTTATTGTTGTGGGTATTTTCAAAGCAAAACATATACCCATAAATAATTGATTATTAATGAGGACGTATTTAATAAAAAAATTGGTTCCCGAAATCAAACTAGATGTCGCCACGGTACGTTCTTGATTTCTCCATGACCACTCTTCCGGTTTTCTTTCATGTTTAAAAGTAAATTCGTTTTCAAAACTCAATAAAATACAAATACAACTCATATTCTATTTGTACTTTTTCGTATTTGTATTGATATCTAAATTTCGAACTTTTCAAATTTCAGTTTTTTAATATGTTAGGTAAAAGGAACGGAAATGACTGTCTTTGGTCCATTCGTTTCTGCAAAAATCAACTTTTGCTAGAGTCGGCCATCTAGTGGAGGTTCTTTTTAATGCTTTCGATTTTTTTAATACTTCCTCATTCATTATTATTGATTGTTTACCAAGCTATGTTCACATATCCCTAGTCCACAAACAAATGTATGAAAACAGTTAAACAAAAAGAACAATAATCACCTTTTCAACAAGCTTTATAATTTCTGTTTCTTCATCTTCAGAGTCTGAATCAGCCTTATTTATCTCGGTTGGTTCCTTTGTTGTTGCTCCTTTTAATTGCTGTATTCTTGTTTCAATATCTTCAATATTTTTATCGAATCCATCTTTATATTTCTTGTCAATTTTTGCTTGTTCCATGTAGCGTTGCAAAAGATCATCAGCTTGCTGTTGTTCTGTTCTGAGATTGGCTGTTAATATAATTGGCTGCAAGTTAGATTGTACTTGATAAAAATATTAAAGTGTAAGGGGGACAAGGCAAGACTTAAAGATATTTTTAATTATTAATATTATATTTATCTAATTGCACCTTAATATTTAAAATAAAATACATTCATCGAACATAAAACAACCATATAAACGAAATTTCAGAAAAGTCTCAAATACCCTATTCTGCTAATGTTTACGTAATTATCGCATCTCAACTATTTGCATTTTGCCATTGGACTAACTACCTGAAGTCCAATATTATTATCTGTCAAAAGGTAATTATTGCATTTCAGGTAAATAGTACTATGGCAAATTGCAAGTTGTTGATAGTGATACCGAGATGCGATTATTTCGTAAATTTTAGCAGAATTGGCCTTTAGGTGTTTGGGTATGCTGTCAGCAATCGGTTAAGCGGGGAATTCACTAGACGGGCATGCCCGCGGGCAAATTTGCCGAGCACACTACACAGACTCGTCCGCCAGTTAGTGTTCGACGCACTAAGCGACTGGTTGTGTAATCAGTGCATATTACAATGGCTACGAAACAAACAAAAATAGCATTCGTTGCTGCTGCATTAATTCTATTTTAACGAAAAGAAAAAAGAAGTGGTGTAAAGAACTTCTTTTTTCTGTTTTCGAGTTCGTTGCTGAAGTGGTTTGGTGTAAAGAATGGTATTAAAACAGAAATAAGTTTATATAAAATTACTTACAGAATTAGAACTGATGAACCAGGTGACTTATACAATTACATACGCATGGATATAGAATCCTTTGAATTTTGATTGAGACTCATAGAACCTAGTATTACTAAACGAAATACTAGAATGAGACAGTCTGTGACTGCAAAAGAAAGATTACTTGCTACGCTAAGATTTTTAGCTACAGGTAGAACATATGTAGACATGAAATTTTCTTGTTCTATATTACCTCAACTATTAGGGAAAATTATACCGGAAACATGCAAGCATTTGTTTATGGCATCAAAGGGCGAATTTATAAAGGTAAATTTTCTCTTTAATAATTATAAAACCATATTAAACAATGTTAGCAACAACAACAAGAAATGAAACTATTCTCAAATTTTAATGAAATTTAATAATTATAATACCTATTTGTAATAATTAATTAAAATATTTTAGTTATTTCTTAACATTTAAATTTAATAATAATAATAATAAATTTTATTTTCAGACAAAGTTCATAGATTTGTTAGTAAACGAAAACTTTAAAAACTATGTTATTATATCTGGTAGCTCTTATTTATTAATAGATAAATGGGTCATGTGTACCATCATCCAATGTTTCAAAATCGTATTGTTTATTTTTTTCAGGCTCTGCCAGAATATCAGCGTTGATGTGGCGCTTTCCGTGTCGCATCAACACCAGCTGAGGCAGAGTCCTGGTTGACCTCACTTTCTTTCTCTTTTATTCATTATGTACCTTATTGTTTCTTTTGTATCTTTATTGTGTTTTATGTGTTCCTAATAATGTATTATTTTGTTTTTGTCTTTGTGAGGTCAATAAATGTTTCTTCTTCTTCTTATTGTTTCAAAATTTAAGTATTTATGTATTTCATTAAGATTATTTAGTGTAACGTCTTCGATTATATTTATGTTTGGAGTAGACACTTGCTCAGATATTTCTCCTTGGAGTAGAGATGGTTGGTGATCTCTTGAGTATATAATCACATTCTGTGGTTGCGACTGCGTAGTTGTTTGTTGGTAGTTTTGTAATTTGGGCACGAGTGTGACGTTACGGCTTGAGGTTGCACTGTCAGACTTGACTGAACATTCAAAAGGCCCATTCTACCATTATACAGAACATCCGAAATTATTTTTTTTGCAATAATGCATTGCAATTCGTCCATTTGTTCAAGGTCATGGGCAACGCTATCCCCAAAACCTTGTTCTTTACAGCGTCGCTGGAGTTCGTTGCTAGCGACGTCTAAAAATGTAGCTTTTTTTTGAGCTAGATTCATAGGTTTTTTATTTTTAACTTTAGATCCACATTGGGACATTGGGCATGGCACATCCGAAGAAGTGCTTGGACTGTGGGGATCAGTTATCTGGAATAAAAATTATCTAATTATTTCTATTTTTTTTTGTTACAGTTTCCTTACACATCGCAATCAAACAACCCCCGAACAGTGGTTCCTAGTACTTTAACTACAAATCTTATTACAGTCTCGTGATTTTACTTGCGATTGTCAATGCAAATTATGAATACTTATATACATACTGGGACAAACGGTAGGGTATCTGATTGAGGCGTAATACAAGACTAATTTCTATAAAACCTAGAAAATGGATTGCTCAATCTTCCACCTCCGAGTATCCTGAGAAACTCAGACATTCGAGCCCCATATTTTTTTGTAGGAGACAATGCATTTCAATTGTTGTCAAGTTATTGATACTCCGAGACATGAAAAAATCTTTAATTACCGTTTGTGTAGGGCACGGCGAACTGTTGAAAATACTTTTGGCATAACAGCCTGTGTCGGTAAGTTTTATTATCCACTATAACTTTTGAAAATTTGGACAATATTGACTCTGTTGTGTTAGCTTGCTGCGCTTTACACAATTTTTTAAGACGAAAAACTTCTTACTATATGACAATTCGATGTATAGACCACGAAAATCATGATCACGCAATTACTCCAGGATAATGGCGACAAGAGGAAATAGATGGCTTGTTAAATAGAGGACGCAATTGTGAAGAGAGCTAAAGTAGCAAGAAAAATGTTTACAGATTATAATAATTAAGAAGGTCAAGTACCATTTAAAAATAACTTTTAATGTTATGAGGTATATTTATTTTCCAATAATTTAAGAGATAACCAATCACAATATCGCATTTTATTAAAAAAAAACCTACCTTAGTACCGCCTTTACCCATGCTGCAGGGGGTGCAATACAACCGGGCGCTGCGCGTTGGATGGCGCCGCGCCGATGATTGTTTAATGTTGTCCTACCTACTCATCGCTTTGTCATCGATTACTGTGTTAATGTGCCCCAAACTTGTAAATATATTTCAATAACTTTTATAATTTTCTTTTAAATTTTTGTGTGTTTATAATAAAGAATAGCAAGCAATTTTTGTTAATTTAAGACTGGCCTGTAGTACCTAATACATAGAAGTTGATATAAAATATGAAGACTGTATATACACACATACCAATGACTCATCAGGAATTGAATTAGGCGGTGAGCTTAATGATGACGTTCCAGCTCGTGGTTCCTCTTGATCTGATGTGAATTGATGTAGGTGGTAATTCGAAAGAGTAGGCACATATACGTCATCTGTTGATGCACTTGCTTTAATTGACTGACGCACTTTGCGCAGCTTCCGTCTGTATGAGTTCCGTAACGACTCTATTTTCTTTCTCACGAAAGCCAAATCAGCATCCTTATACAAGATAAATTGCTATCAGAATATAACATAAAAAATTGTATTCGTTACTGTATATCCTAATCACTCTATAATATAAATTCATAGTTTCATTAAGATAATATCCGTACTGTCCCTGGAGGTTGATGAACAATTTTTGTCAATATAAGTAAGTATTTTTAGTTTCTGTACTACTGTAATAAAATTACATCAAATTGTTAACATTTAAAATACCGTTTTTCTTTATAAATATGTTCTATCAACATTACTAAATAACAATATAAACATTATATAACAAACTTACCTGGTATAACTTGTCATACTTGTTTATTAAATTTTGATACGCAGTATTGCGTAACTCCGTTATTTTCATTAAAACAAATTTCGTTTCACGTTACCTACAGATTTCGACATAAATGGACGTTCGTAATGCTTGCTGTCCGAATCAAGTCTGAGCAGTCGGGCCGCGGTGAGCATTCACCAACAGACATGTCTGTGCGACTTGACTAGCGAGCGAGCGAGTGATATAAATGTCAAATTTGTCTCAAGTGAGATAATATATCGTTTCGCTCGCCTATGTTTGAAATATATCTTTATATCTTCGTAACACGATTCATTTCAGACTATCTGCGAGTGAATGAAATTGTCTTTGCGAAACTTCTAGTTTGCTCTGAAGTTGTTTCACGTAGAGATACAGTATTTTATGCACATAAGGATAAAGTTTACTTTCATACCGCACCTAGCTCGAAACAACTTCAGAGCGATCTAGAGGTTTGGCACAGACTATACGTTGGGTACATGCGTATGAAAGAATTCTCACACCAATCCGATAAATAATATAAATTTATTTGGTTAAAAAGTTCGTGAAAATTATTTGACGAATACTTTTGTCAAATAATATAGAAATATATTTTAAAATCAAGAAGTAAAATGTGTTATTTTTCTAGATATGTAGTCTGTGTTTCTAGTCAAATGAAAAACCAATCGGTGCGTGACATCTGATATTAATAAGAATTTAAAATATGTGCAGGATACAGTACATACAAAGTGTAAAATTATAATGATATATTGAAAGTTTTATCAATTCCAATTCGATTTCTTTTTATTTAATTTATTTGTGTATTAGAGTATAAAAGAAACAGTATGCGATAATTCATTTATTGAAAATCCCTTAAGTTTTCTCCATGGATGACGTCACGACTTTTGACTGAGTCACAGTGTAAATATAAGTATACAGTGGTGAAACTGCCTACAAGCGTTCGAAATCGCACGCACACATAAACACGCTCACCGACGAGCCGCCTAAGTGGACCTAACAGGACGCTCAGTAACGCGTATCGCGTCGAGATGAGGGGTCACGTTACACGTTCCGCGATCGTTTTTATTTAAAAAATGAAGGAAAGATTAAGGAAAGGAGTAGGCTTATGTGAAATAAAAAATTAGTTTTTTTTTTAGATTTAGATGTTTTTTTTAAATACCCGTTTCAGTATCATGCATATTTTCAGGTTGAAACGTAGTACGGTCCCACCCGAAAATGTTTGATAAACACCCAAAAACAGCCGCTCATGAGCGCGCCACCTTAATGCGGTGCCTACCTACCACGCGTCCGATTCGAAGAGAGCACGAAACGTTGGACGTTTCGTGCGCTCTTCGGCTATGTGTCTGTCAAAACTTGTACAAGGTTATGCCGTAATGTCAAGTTAAAGATCAACATAAAAACAAAGATTTACAAGTTGTGTCAATATTAAACTATTTCTCGTATGTTAAACTATCGTCTTTTGCTAAGATTAACCGATTTTTAACCGACTTCAAAAAATGAAGGTTGATAACCTTCATTTGACCTGTGCGTATGATATATTTCCATAACTGCCCAGTTTTCGCATATGTTATTCTTTATCATGTGGTGATATAGAATAATATAAGTAGATATCACCGTCTGAACAAATGTGTATGTATATTTTTTTGTTTGTTAATTAGTTATTACAATTCGATTGATTAATAATGCAAAAACTCCTTTTATATTTTGTAAAAGAAACAATGTCTAAAACATTCAAAATGACAACCCTATGGTTTCAATGGAGCGTAGGTATTTATTTTATCAAATAGGCTTAGTTTCTATACTGTGTCATACTTATACTGTGACTGAGTTGTTGTTTACGCGTCATTTTTAAACAATTCAATTAGAAACTTAAGTCTTTCATTTGAATACATATAAAGGTTAATTAAAGAGAAATGTTTTTTGTGCGAATGTTTGTTAATCAATTTAAATTATATTAAGGGATCAGAATACTTCTAAAAAAATATTGTGTGTAAAATTTGTAAATAGCCATTTATTTTTAACACGGCAACATAATGATTTCAAACTAAAAGAATTAAGCTGCGAACGTTTCACTTTCAACCGCTTTGCTTTATCGTGTTCAATAGAGTATTTATCTTTCATATCTCACTCAGTTCGAAAGAGACCAGAATCTGTTCTTCGAACTGAGTGAGATAGAAAAGATAGATATATACATCTCATACATATATTTATATCTTCGAGCAAAGTATATATATCTCTCTTTTCGCGTGGATGATATAAATTGCACGAGCCTACGTGTGCCCGCGCAGACAAAATGAATCTCACGGACGGGCGACGCGTAGGGATGTTCCGATTCCATCAAGGTATCGATACCAATTAACATCATTAGTACTCAAATAGTCTTTCGATACTACTCATATAAATACTCCTAATTTATCGATACTTTTAGATTATTTTTTTACTGAAATGACGGACAGTAATTTTATGAGGGCAAAAAAATAAAATAAGTAATTAGGTATTTGTTTTTTTATTTAATTTAATAACGAACAGCTGAACACTGTCTGAACGTAAATTGACAACATATAAAATGGCGGCACGGTACGTCACACACACATAAACACAGTACATGCCATGCATGGAATGGCACGCACGCTTTTACCGAGAACCGAGCGAGAGCATTTTAAATAAAATATCGCACACACAGAACGATACTGTAATATGTCGATACTGTATTAGTCAGATAGTGCAGTGTTGATCTGGGTGTGCGAAATAGTCAGGTCTGATTCGATTCGATACCAAATATGTATCGCAAGATTCAATGCTATTAATACTTTGTACCGAATAAAAAATATCGAGTATATACTCGTATTTACTAGTATCGGAAGATCTCTAGCGACGGACAGTCTGCCTGACTGCCTGTGACGGACCTACCCTAGGTAGACCTATAGTAACGAGGTCTGGCAGGCATGTCTGCAGACTTGCCCGCGGGAATGCCTGTCTAGTGAATTCCCCGCCTTAGTAAATAACCTCTCTGGTCAAGTCAATCATTGACCCGAGATACTATTAAAGTGCTTGGCTATGTATAGAATAAAAATAATATAAAGAAACCTTAGAGTCCTTGAGGGGTTTTATACATATGACATTTAGCTTTATTTAGCAAGTATTGTAGAATTTTGCTGCCTGCCTTATGTTTAGGAAAAATATTGTACTGTGCAAACCTTATTCTGTGAGTTTTTATCAGGAACACCCCTGAGATTTGCTAATCTTGCCTGTAGTTCAGCGTCAGATGTTGATGGTTGGCCACCTTTGAGTTTCTGTAATCTCTCCTCAATTGAGTTTTCAGATGGCTCTGTTGCATTACTTTTATCAACCTTTAACTTTAGTAATCGCTTCTTTATCTCGTCATCTGTTTTATTATTAGCACTCCCATCTTCATTTAATAATGCCCCAATTCGCCTTTAAACAAAGACTTTTATATAAACTATTATATTTATCGCACAGTTCAGTACTGGCATGTGGCAACATGACAAACGTGTGTGATGACGTATTGCACAGCATCTAAAATACAACTGTTTTAAATCTATAGATTTATTAGACTTTTACAAACTTAAAAAAAAAACAGATTGATAATTTTAATAATCTGGACTTCTGTTGTTTTTATTGGTTATTTTTTTCAAAGTGCCATATTAACTAATTTTATTAGATACTATAAAAGAAGTAAATGTGAAAGGCGGTGCCAATTTTGCATCTAAATCTGTGATCAACTGCTAAAGACTCTAAGAACCGGTATGCTCACACACCACAGGCTGGGAAACACTATTATACAATCAGTTCTATCAAATATATAAATAAACATACTTATAATATGCATCAGGAGGTTCCAAGGACTTCTGCTTGTTTAAATCAGTGGAATTGCTACATTTTGCGCATACCTGTAACACAAACAAGAATATAGTTTGATGCAATGAAGTGGAAGAGGCTTTTTACATAATTACTAGAGATACGCCGAATATTTGTTTGGGAATCCTCATTTTTTTCACTTTTTGTATTCGGCCGAATTATTTAGATTTTATGACAAATATATTTGATTTTAATACCTATTTCTATTTCTTGGCTACATGGCATAGTTAGAACTAAAAGAAATCCTATGAATAAAATATAACAATTTAACATCAAATCGTAAATATTTACTTTATAAATAAATCCCTATGAGTAACAATATATTCTCAAGTTGGAAAAAATTTACATAATTATTTACTTTTGTTTATATTGGTTATTCGTACTTGTAGAAATTTAATTATTAGTTTGTAGATTGACAATGACAATTAATTTTTCATATTTTTGTATTGCTGACATTTTTATTTTATTGTTAGATTTTTATTGTAATTTAATTTGACCCTTAATTTGATATTTTTTGACATTGGTAATAATATTTGATCACAATAATTTAAGAGTTATTCTGTCATATGTATGTTCTTTTAATTTTTTTCTTCTAATTTGCAAGTGTTTTGGATGGAAACATCTGTTAGCTTTCAAGACTCGTTTGTAATAAATTTATAAATAATAAAAATAACAAACTATTATCACTATAGAAATATAATAGAGATCAGTAATAAAATAAAAAATAAGCAAAAAGAAATATATCTATTAGGTTTGGGAAAAAGTATGGATGCTTTCAGTATGATTAAAAAAAAATGTTAAAGAAGATAATAAAAATAGTTAACTCTGAATTAAAATTGGGACTATATGTGATTTTCATTTGTTTTTCTTACTGTCAAAATGAGTAAATCTAATGAGAAAAACAACACATTTAAAATTTTAATACAGAAAAGGTAAAAATGCAACGCAAGCCATGAAAATAAATTGTGACGTTTATAGTCCTAGTAGTGTCAAAGATGCGCGTCGCTCTGGTCGCCCTGTTACAGATATAAAAGATGAAAAAGTGGAGCAAGATCGCCATATCAGTAGTTACGACATATCTGAAGGACTGGGGCTTGACCACAAGACAGTATTGACGCATTTGAGAAAAACTGGGTACACAAAAGTTGTATATTTGGGTACCTCATGAGCTCACTGAAAGAAACCTAATAAACTGTGAACTCATTTGTGATTCTTTATTACGGGGTAATAAAGCCAAACTACTTTTGACGAAGCTGATAACTGGTGATGAAAAGTTGATGACATATCACAAGACTATATGAAAAAGGTCATGGTCAAAGGTTGGTCAGACTTCACAGACTATGGCAAAACTCTGGTTAACTCGCAACAAGGTGGTGCTGTATGTATGGTGGGTTTGGAAGGACATTATTCATTGAGGTGTTGCTACCAGGCAGGACAATGGTCCTGCCTGGTGGCTCTGAACTCAACTGCTAACAACTGATGAGATTAAAACAAGAAGTTGAGAGAAAGTCAGAATTAATAAAAGTGGTGGTGTTAAAACAGCAGCTGTTTAGTCCTGTCCTTGCCTTCAGATTTTGGCCTGTTTCAGTCTCTTCAGAATTCTTTAGGCAATATCAGGTTAACATAATGCAAGGACTACCAAAGCCACTTGTCACAGTTTTTTGATAACAAGCTCCATAATTTCTATTACAACCTACAAAATGGCAAAAAGTTTTCGAACAAAATGGTATTTACATACTTTAGTTAAATGTAAATAGTTTATTTAAAAAATGTTTAGAATTTTCATATAAAATGCAAAGAAACTTTTTCTCTGACCTATCATATATTCTAATATTTATATTTATAATTAATTAATGGTTTTTCTTTATAAGTTCCCTGTTTCTGAACTGTAGTTTATTAAATTACTATTGTAATAATAATTTATATTACAAGAAGCACTTTGAAATACTGGCTAAATAAATACAATAAAATGGTAAATCAAAGAGTTTGGCCGAACATCCAGCTCAGTAAGGGTAAAACTGAATACTATTAGGTCAATTAATAAAACCACCAAATTAATATTATTATTAACAAAATTACCTTGGCATAAGAGTTAAGTTTATTCACAAATAATGAGTGGTGTAAGCATTTGGAACAATAACTAAAACCGCAGCTTGGGCAACCTTTCTGTAAATAAAGAATAGAGTAAAAAAATGCGTCCCTGTTCATTAAAAACCAAAATTTTAGTAATGTGGATACACTTACTTCTTTTCTAAACAATGTATAGGGTTTTGCACAAGAATTACAAGCCATAGTTTTTCAAGGCATTAAGCTTCTTCGCGTTTTCTATCAGTTAATTCAGTTACAAAATATTTATTACCGTTCTCTACGATTATATCACAGAACACTTTTACTCAAGGATTATATCGTTGGATTTACCCATTGTGCCATTAAAATTTACAAAGTTCTTCTTCTTTTATTAATGGCTTAGCTATGCAAACTTAGAACTCGATTTTTTTTTACTTTACAGTGCCATCTATGTACCAGCTTTTAAAATAGAAATCATGGTGTAGCCACAATAAATAAATGTGTTTATAATTGGGGATAATTTTTAAAGGCATCATTAATAAATCTTGTTTATTATTACTTGAAACTTAGTTGAAAAGCCTTATGATACCTAATATTATTGAAATAATATATCTTGTTACAGAATTATATAGTAATTATAGAATTGTCACTAGAAATGTTTCTAATTTAAGTGGTAATATTAAATATACTATGGCAATATCAATTGAAAATGGCGCGTATGTAATGGTTTGGTATTGTGGCTAAACTTTAAAACTAACTTCGCAAATGGAAAATGTATTGAGTGAATGTCCGTGTGCTTGTTAGTTTTTGCAAGTTCCTGTAACTTTTTCTGCTTTTCACGTTGAGTTGATTAAGTTCGTCCGTGTAATCGAAATATATTGTGTTAGCAATCGTATTGTGTCTTGAAATATCCTGTACCGAAATGTTACTTGTTTTTAATTTGAACTTTGCTCAAAAAATCATGGCACAAAACCGTTGTTGTGTACTTTAATGTTCAGTGACTAAGGATAGCGGTAAGTGCTTTTTAGTTTGTACAATAAATACTTTATGAATTGTACTATAATGTCAAAGTTTTCAACCGATTTTTATACCTATACGTGGAGTTTCATAATTCAAATGTTTTTCTGGTATTTTTCTTTGAGCTATCGTAGAATACAATATTCATTAAAAAACTTATTATGTGCCTACAATTTAAGAATTGTTATTTGTTCATCCATTATACAAATAATTAAGGACTAATAATTTGTTGTGTGAATAGCAGAGAATAATACATATTATTATGTTACTCAGGTATCCCTTTGCACCGGTTTCCTGAACCTAGAACTAAAACAGAGAAATTTAAAAAATGGCTAGACAATGTTGGTGGAGAAATAACTCATCTGGATCCAATCAAAATATATAATAACATGCATATTTGTGGAAAACATTTTCTAGATATTTATAAATATCCCAATAATAGACTGCAACATAGCAATGCCTACACTTCATATGTCAGGTAATTTATTATTTATAAATAATACTGCATATTGAATGACTACCTATCTATTTAAAGATGGAAGCAGCAGGCTATGCATTAAAATTCATTCATATGTGATTAACAATGACCAGTGAATAATTTTTCAAACTATAAAAAGTTTAAAGTAAAAATGAAATAGTAGAAAACAAATAAGTTTTCTATAAGCTGAGTTCTTATAAAAAACATTATGTATTTGAATGTGGTTTTCATCAATATATAGAGTGGTACAAGAGGAAGGTTTATATGTACCATATAAGACCTTGTGGGCGAAAGCTAGTTTCTTATACCATTGTTCAAATGCTCCTAATTTCCATGTTAATTTTTAATGTTTATTATAAAATAAAATATTATAAAATGTTTTTTTCTTCATGTTCAGCGCAATCAACTGGAGAACCTCACATAGTTGCAAGTGCGGATTTGCCATGTAGCTCACATTTTGTACCTTCTCAACTAAATGCCGGCACATCAGGTTGGTAAACGTTTTTCTGATGAAAATTAAAATAGTTAAATAATCATCTTAAATATAATATTATTTTTTATATAAAGGAAAATTCATGAGTCAACATATAGTTATACAAAATTGAATGTTCCTTTGTTCAAAATTGCAAATCTATGTTGTGTAACATAGGCCAATCTTACATATTTTGAGCCAGAGACTGATAAGCCAATGATATCCATGAAATAACTATATTTGTTATTATTTCCAGGTCAGCATACAAACCTTGGAAAGACACAAACACCTGTTGCCAAACAACAGTTGCCAAGAAAATTAAAAGGTATGTTTTGCAAAAATATATCTCAATTATCCAATTTGAAAATTGCTGCATGAAATTGGAAACAATCTGCAAATCTGAAAAATATTCAGTTATTCTGAATATTTTTGTACAGTGTGTAATGCAAAAAAAGAAACTATTTATTTTTGAGGCTTTAATTTACATTTCATGAAATTTGTTGCAGGTGTTTCTCTAAAAGACCATAAACAATATAAAATAATTGTGAATAAATTGAAAAAATGAGAAGCTCAAAAAAGGAGCTTTAAACAAAAATTGGCTCTTGCTAAATCTTTAATGAAAACCTCTGCTTTCCAAATAATTTCCAAAAATATGTCACCTACTGCAAAATTATTTTGCCGAATGCAAATGTCACATGGAAATAAGAAAAAGCAAGGGCATCGATTTACCATTGATGAAAAGATTTTAGCGCTATCATTATACAAACCTGCACCTAAGGCGTATCGTTTGTTAAGAAAATTTTGTATTTTACCTAGTAGACAAACATTGCAGACTTTGTTGTATAAAGTCCAGTTAAAGGCAGGCATAAATGAAATTTTATTTGACAACCTAAAATCCAGAGTTAGGAGAATGCCAGATAAATTTAAATACTGCACCTTGGTATTTGATGAAATGGCAATAGCACCAAGCATCAGCTTTAATAAAAAAAAAAAAATTATCACATGATTTGTTGATAATGGAGCAATGAAGCAAATAGTACAGTAACCATGTACTTGTTTTCTTAATTAGAGGCATTGTTAAAAAATATAAACAGCCACTGGCCTATTATTTTTGCAGTGGCAGTACAAGAACTTAAAGCTTAAAGCTTTGGAACTTAAAGCTTTAATAAAGAATATGATTATTAAAATTGCAGAAACTGGTCTTATGGTGGTAGCAGCAGTATGTGACCAAACTACATAAAATATTGCTGCTATAAACTTGTTGTTAAAAGAGACTAACGAAATGTATTTGAGAAGAGGACAGCACTATACAGAAGGATTTTTCGAAGTTGGAGACAAAAAGTATTTTCACTCTATGACCCACTTCATTTAATAAAAGGGATCAGGTATAATTTGTTAACAAAAAATTTAAAATATAACATGAATGGAAAGGAATGTACTGCTAAGTGGAATCACATTCTACAATTATATGAAAGATGCCCAGGCTACAAAGGAGTGAAGATGGCACCTAAGTTGACAGCTCATCATGTAGTGCCATCATTATTACTAAAAATGAGAGTGAAACACTGCACTTAGGTGTTAAGTAAAACTGTTGGAGCTGCTATTGGAGTAATGACAGGTGATATTTTTTAATATTATTATGAGAATAGCTTGGTGGCGTAATAGGTAAGCGCCGCGGCCCGCGATCGTTGTCGTTAAGCAACTTTCGCAAGGGTAGGTTATGGGATGGGTGACCAAATAATTATTATCTCGAGCTACTCCATGCTTCGGAAGGCACGTTAAGCCGTTGGTCCCGGCTGCATTTACAGTCGTCTATTCACTCCAATCCGCATTGAGTCAGCGTGGAGGGTCATGGCCCATCCTCCTTAACCATCCACAAGGAAAGCCTGAGCCCCTGCAGTGGGGACGTAAAAGGGCTGATGATGATGATTATTATTATTATGAAATTTTAGAGTCCATATGTTTTATTATATATTTGAGAGCAGATTTATTATAGAAATTTTTTCTGGTATACATAGTACATACATACTATAAACTAAAAACTTATATTTTCCATTACAAACCTAAACAAACATTATATTTTCATTGCAGAGTTTGGAGTTCTTGAAAAAGAATGCACTGAAACTGCAGACCTGTTGATGTTTTTTGATGACTTATTCGACAGTGTCAATGGCAGCTTTAGCAAACCAAAAGGGAGGAAAACGTATAGGACAGCAGTGACACCAACATCGCCTCATCATAAATTATGGAACAAAAGCCTTCCAGTTTTAAGGAGCATGAGGTTTCATAATGGAATTAATCATGGGATAGCTCCATCGTTGTCCAGCTGGATAAAAACAGTAGAAAACTTCAAAAGAATTTTAATTTATTTGAATTCAAAAGGCATAAATTTATTATTGCTATGAAATTTCAACCAAGACGCATTTGGAGAAATTTTTTGGGGCAATAAGGGCTCATGCCTGCAGCAATACGATGCCTACATCACAATCTTTTAAAACATTGCTTATTGACAATATTTCTTCTTCACATTCAGTGGGATCAAATTGCGAAATGGATGATAGCGTTTGTCTGCAAACACTAAAAGAACTATTGACTAAAGACGTAGATGATATACCCACTGAATGTGAAGTTGAAATTGAAAATGCTCATTTATGCATTGATTTAATCAATACAGAAAGTTTAATAAGTAGAAAAATCCGCAGCAATTGGATACTGTAGTGGCTGGATAGCACAATTAGCAAAGAAAATTTTTTATATAAGCTGTTTATTATGTAAAAACAACATAGAAGCTAAAGAAAAGCAGATATTTCATACTTATATAATTTTAAAAGAGTTTGAAAACAAAAGCTGGTTGTGCTATCCTACCCGAAACCTATTTGACTATGTTGCCAATGCTGAAAACAATAGAAGTTTTAAAAGAAAATTACAATAAAAAAATATATTTTGACATAATTTATACATAAAAATATCAATCATTTAATCAATGGCAAAATTTCATTTTGGGATAGAAATGATGAAATGAAGGTAAAGGCTCATAACCATTTTTCAAAAAATAAAGATAGGAAGAGAAAAACTGTGTGTGGATCACTGATGAATGTCTGAAATAAGATGGTTAATAAAGCTACAAAAATAACAAGTCTTTCATTGAAATAAACTAATTGATTTATTTTACTTGCTCTAAACATTTATAATAGTTAGCATTGAACATAAACCATATAAATATGACTCCTGATATACTTGTTTAATCATAGCAAATAA